AGTGTATCATGAGTGTTAGGATTTATCCCAACTGCAATATACATAAATAAACACGCAAAAGAAATGGCTCAGCTGTATTAGATGTATAATACATAGAAATACATAACTGTTGATATATTTGTTTTAATTTAAAGCCTCTCAAATGTACTTGAGAAAACAACAGCGAACTTAAGGAAGCATATAATATAACACACGTACAAAACGTTATCGTGCAAAAAATATTTTTACGTTTTTATATCGGACCGTTGATCCCCAGCAGCGGTTATATGGAGCGGAAAATATTTTGTTTGGCACTCCTTTTATTCAGAACCACGTGTGGAGAGAGGAAAGAAACATTTTTTTTATTACAACATCCACGATTTTGACCCTTATTTTGAGCGGTACGAGAGCAAACGTGTTCGTTACGACGCATCCTCTCTTTATATCTTCTGGTGCTGAATATAAATTGTCAAGTGCGACTGATATGAACGGGGTGACTGAATAAATAATTTGTATACCTACTAACAAATGATATACTGTTGTTGATGTTATTTGTATAAGCGTATTTTTACCTCGAAAACGTATTTATATATTAATTTCAATACGAGTTTTTTACAGTCCATTGTGTACGTAACTTCGTCGATACATGCCAAGAGATGGGATTTATATTTTCCTTCATGTTTCATTGATATTTATTTTATCAATGAAATATGTAAACACTGAACTGAAAAGGATGTAGGAATTTTTCCTTATAAAGGATTCGGCTACAATTTAAACGTTTTTCTATGCTACGTGAATGGTAAATTTCATTATGATTAGCTAACTTGTGGGTGTGAATTCAGGTAAAGAGTGGTCTGTGTTCTAATATCATTTATAGGTTTCATAAATTTCATTCGAATTCTTGCGTGAGATATATAAGTTAAGTAAGTTTTAAGAAAGTTTAAGTGTAAACAAGTTATGACATTTTCATCCATGTGTACCAATACTTACAAACTTTCGGGCTTATAATATTAGAAGGATTATTATGGTAAGAATATATGGTATATTCCTTATTCTGGACTCAATAGTAGAAACAGATAGAAGCATTTAAACAGAATTTACTTCTTTGTAATATAATATTACATACTACTACTAACATCACAACGAGATGTAGCTTGAAGTACTTACCTTATTAAAGATAACGCTAACTTTTGAAAAACTTCGGGGCTGTTTTTACTTCGGTATGGTTAGTCTTAAACCTAAAATAGCATCTTAAATTTGTTCATAAACTTTAGGAGTAATAGAAGTAGTAGTTAGTACTGGTTTTACTAGCTTTGTACCTCATATCGTAAACAGAAATTATGTAAGAGTTTAGAGTTTTCCTATTTAAAAAACAGCGTTGTCACAGCATGCAACAACCTGTAGATAGTCGAGGGGCGCCCATGCGCTTTTTAGTGGGTGAAAGTCACACCTTGTTTATCTCTACGGATGTTCATGTTTTGAAATTTTCCACACGTAAAAAATATAGCATGTCTTATCTTGGTGCCAAATTTTGATGACCCTATTTTAATCTTTATATTTTTTTATATTATAAGAGCGACTTAATACGTTTTGAATCAGCGTATTATTTTGGTTTAAACTATTTATTTTTAATAAGATATAATTAATATAAAAATATTAACAAATTAAAAATTTTTGCACGTTACCTGTTATTTGTGAGTTAAAGTTTAGCTATTCCAGATATAAAAAAAACTTTCTCTCTTTCTTTACACGGTAGGAGTTGTGATATTTATTCCATAACCATTAAGCGTAACGGGATATATTGAAAATGATGGAATAAATTAATTGAAATAAATCTTTTGATTAAAATGTATTCTTATAGTTTGATTTTAAGAATGTTGTTTTAAAATAATCATTACGCATTTTCTAATTGAAACAGCATATCGCTTATTTATGATGTTATGTAGAAATGAAAGAGATTTTTTTTAACTAAATTTATTCCCAAAACTATCCTTTTAGAAATCCTACAGTGATGATCAAGAGCAATACCATCACTGTTCATTCCAGACAGTAAATCTAAAACAGTAAAAATGACATAAAAACATAATTCTCGGTAAGTATGTACGTAAGACTAACACCGATGTCCGGAATAAAATGGTAACAGATTAAATAACAATTATATAGTTCCTAACATTTGAAATATCTAAACAATAAATATTTGAATACCTAACACAAAATATGAATATACACCGTTACATTTATCACTACAATATTTCATATTCAAATTAAAATTAGAAAATTAACTTAGATCACAATACCATTGTTTTAATAAATATTCCTATTTATAGACAATGGCACATAATAATATTATTTGGCAACGAAAATGTACGATGGGAACTGAGGCAATCGCATCAAATTTGTTAAATAACATCTATTGGGTACGAAGTATATTTGATGAAAATTATATTAAAATCATTGTATACCCACTTACCATCGTACTATCCAAAATTCAATTCTAAAGCTAGCCTACGAATGGTTTAAAATCCAATGTCTAAATTGTACACAATGTATATAATAATAACGGACTATTGTTTTGATAATGAGGTAATCAACTACTCAACTACCTACATTAAGCAGGAAGATTGAAACGGAAGGTAAGCTTAAAATATCTAGGTTTATTCTAATGATATGGTTGCGATCGTTAAATTCGACTAGCAGATTCTTCAAGCCCTTGTTCTGTAGAGAAATAATAGTCTAACAATTGCTAAATTTATATAAGAGTATTCAATAATGAATCCGCATGCTAATGATTGAAGTTCAGATCCCAGAGATGATATTTCCAAAGTTCCCTCACAACGGCTTCCATACTTCGCAACTTTTTAATTGTTTTCATCCTGTTTATAAAAGTTTGTACGCTATCAATATGCACGAGAAAACGAGTTAAGAACGTTGTTCTTATTATCCTAATTACATACTTGTAAGGTACATTTCATACGCGCTTTATATGCATATAAATCTTATCAAACAAATGAAATCGAATTGTGAACTTACATCTACACTGACTAGTAGAATAATAAATGCATTGATCACAACACATCACATGGTATCCTGTACCGTTACCGTTGTTTGTTCTATATTTTATGTATACAATATGCATACAGTATACATTTTAAATGCTCTGCAAAATACTGAAACTAAACAATGCACCTTGCATATTTGTTACAATAAGTAATAATAATTTGGCATAATTTTTATATCAAAAAAGATGGCCCACGTAGTCATTTCGAAAATACATTGTTACATATTCTATAAATTTATTAAAAAATAATTTCAAAATACAGTAGAAATATGTAAGTACAATACACGAAATTAATCCTATAAGGGGATAATCGACTACATGCTATTTATTTTATATTTTTACATTTATCGCTACCTATTTGTTACATGATTATCTTTAAAGTTTCATTATCTACATAATTAGTGAACAATTATTCCAAACTCTCAGAAAATACAGTACAGATTTTTAAAATAATATAGTTTATTAAATACTTTCCTTACTATATAATAATAATTTACGATCAATCAAGTTTACCTTTCAGTAAATGATAATAAATTTCGAACTAGTTTAACAGCTTTAGTAACAAATTAAACATTAATTAAAATCTCCAGATGCTAGAGAAACTTATTAATTTAAATAGTAATATTTTATTTTTCTCCTATTATCCATGACATATTTATGTTTGTTGCGGGTGAATATTACGATGTTGCTGGTCGAGACGATGTATTGTACAGATAATGATAAACTGACAATGTATACATAGAAATAATGATCTTATATACTAAATAAAAGTAGGAAAATGTAAGGTGGGGTGACACAGTTTAGATACAGCAGTGCCTAGTAGACAATATTGAATTTGTCTTACTAGACATTATTAAATGCAATTATTATTTTATGTATCTAGGTGACTGTGTCCCATAGATATTCCCCCCTTGAGAGAAAAAAATATATATATTACACACAAAAAAATTATAAAAGTTAACTGTAAAATTTAAGATATGCACTTTAGTAACAATAAAAATTCATTATACCCAAATAACGACGTAAATCTTCGACTGTCGTGGGTTTAGGGTACTCGTCGATTGCTTGCCATTTTTCTTGCGTTGGTTTCATCCCTTGGCTCGTTATATGATAACCAAGAAAATCTAGCTCATTTGTGAAGAACTCGCATTTGCTCATATTCATTGTTTGCGGCGAATAATTTGAATTCGCTAGCGCTCTCTTTGGTCTGTGCTTGTTTTTTATTCATCGAGATTTTTGCTCCGGTGTCCACCAAAATTCTATAGCCACTGTTAGAGTCGGTTATAGCTAGGCGGTTAGACGGATGAACAGCACAGTGTTCCGTCTTATTCTGCATCGAATTTAGTTTTACGACGGTTGTCGATAGGAGCGCGGCATGTCACATTTGTATGCCTTTTCTTTATATTTGCGATGATATAATATAAATAATAGTCATTTTTCTGACTATGCAATGACCGTAGGTGCGAATTTGACCTAGATCGGTAGTTGCTGCGTCTGTTTGTGTGTAGCGAGCGTTTTTCGCGTATATCAGCAATTTCTGATCGCAGTGTCGCAATTAGTGACGACAGTGTGCAATGACGTCGGCGGTAACTGTTGGCTGTACTTTTGTAGACAGAATTTTGGCTTTATTTTTCCAGTTTCAATTTTTCGTCCAGAGATTATATCCAGTAGGCAGTTGTGTTTACTGGGGGTCAGTAGCACGGCAGGATCCTTGTTGCGCAGTATTGCCAACGACTTTTAATGCCTCTTGAATTTCCGAGCCGGTGAGACCCGCTTCTGGGAAGCCGGTGGAAATGTGCAATCGTTGGTGGTGCGCAGGATGCCGTCAGACAGAGATCTCTTGTTTGATCTCGTCGTTTTCCCAGCTATCGTCTCGACCACGTCGGCCAGATCACGTCGGCCAGATCACGTCGGGCAGATCACGTCGGGCAGATCACGACTGTTGCGGGTTTTCATAATGTTCATAATATTTATTGCCCTCCACCGTTTTACAAGCGCCATATTCAACCGGTGTTTCAGCTGATTCATTCATTAACACACGCGTATTGTTACAAACCTTATTCGCGTACAAACACAAATTCGTTGTAGTGATTCCAGCGGTTTTCCTCTGTATCCACACCGGGCTTTAGTTCGGCTGCACCTGCCGTCCCGCTGCCACAACTTGCCGACAACTTGAAACCGTTCTCTTGCAGCATGTCAAACGCCTGCTCGATGAAAGAATGTTTCAAGAAAAATCGCGATGTGTACCGGTCCGCTAGACCATGATCCGGATCCCGAGACTCGTTCAAAGTCTCGCCGAAAACATCGCGGCATAGTGTCACCTTCCCGCAAACTAATATACGCGACAGCTTCCGGAATTTCACGTCAGCCAGCCCGTCGCGTCCAAATTGAAAACTGCCTCGGTAACCGACCGTGATGCATCCCCGTTCACGGTTCGCTGGCCGAGGATCTGACTCCCGGACAGCATTCTCGAGACCCACGAGCCTGTAGTGTTTGGCTTCTCTCGTTAGTCGTTTATGTTCACGAAAGCATTCCGGAAGAACGAGCCCGCCATCCCTGAGATAATCCAAGACATATCGGAAAAGAACGCCGTCACGATCAAAGAAAATGCGTCCGCGGGCGTCGCGCGGATGATCTGGATCGCGGAGCGCGGCGGCGGGAAGTGAGTCAGGTTCACGGAGTAGCGTGTCGCGTGTAGTGGCGTAATGCACGCCGCCCACGTTGAGCTCGAGGACCTCGGGCGGAGCGTCCGCCATGGCTAGAGGTTGAGGGCGCAGTGAGTTGGCGGCTGCGCGATCCTAGCTCCCTCCCTGACCCACTTACCGCGCGTCTCAGCGCCGCCGCACCAGCCCATCAATAACGCACGCCCGGGTTACTGACTCGAACGTAATTATTTCCTACCCTTTCGAGCGAAAACTCCTCCGTAAAAGCCTTCAAGGTCGTCATCTATTGTTAGCTAACAGATGGTTAGTTGTATTCTCCGATACTATTATATTTAAGTGGTTTCCTTATGACTTAGCAAATGAGTTCGTTAAAATCGTAGCGTACTGTAAAATAAGCAGAGATATTTCTGCAAAACTGTTTAGATTACCTTGTCTATAATGCGGGAAGTGCAGAAACATGTGGTAACACTTTCATGGCCACATAATTATTCTAAAACATCTTGGTTTTTGACTGTAAATAGAAAAAAAAACTTTTTACAAGGAATTTATTTAAATACATAGCTATTACTGGTAGTTGATTTCTACGGAAAAGTGTACGAAGTTTGTCGATTCGAATACCGTTTACAATAAAAACTTTGTTGAAAACTTGATTGCATGCTACGCCAAGTTTTGAACTCGAGTTCAAAACTCAAAAAGATTTTTATTTTACGATGTTTAATTCTGAATACTAATAGATTTAGATTATATTTACATACTCATATTCAAACATGTCTACATTTACTACATAGAGAATAGAACTTAACGTTAGAGCTTGAGCTAAATAGATACATTTGGATGGATTCTAAAAAAATGCAGTACATGCCAAGGTTACAAGTAATATTACAAGGGAACTTTTAATAGTACCTCCGAGACCCATATTACTTCTTCGAGCATGTAAAAAGCTGAGTTTCATTATACCTTGGCGATAAATTAATTTGCTAACTGCTGATGTGTTCACTTTCTTCAGAAAGTTGCTTAAAATAAGTATCCATTAGGGAGATATCGTCTAAAATTTGCAGACGGGCCTAAAGGCATCCAAGGTTATTATAAAACTTTTATAGTAGATGCTGGAATGGAACGGCATAGAATCTTTGGCGGGCCACCTGATGGAATGTAGGTACAGTAACAGCGAGGGTGAGTATACTCTCGATTACATCCTAATGATCACTTTCTATAGATATAGAAAGTGATCATTAGGATGTAATCGAGAGATGACTGCCTCGGTGATCTAGCAGTTTGCGCATGCCACTTACTTACGATGGTCGCGGGTTCGATTCCTTGCACTGCACAAACATTTGTATTCATAAGTATTACTGTTTGTATCGTTCCCGGTGTATTCTATTTATGTATTTACAATAAATGTATCTATGTATTTATATCAGTTGTCTAGCATCTGTATTGAAAACTCTGCTTAGCTTGGGAACGGACCTTAGATGGCACTGTGTGAATTGTCTTGAGTTATTATTATAGATCATAGCTATTTGAAATTTACTTGATATAAATATTAAGACTTCGAATATCCGACTTCTAATTGCCGCGTTGTCCGACCAACCGAAATTTATATAGACTGATAATTACAGTTTTTTCAATTCCTTCTTAATAATTATTTGTTTAAAGTACAATTTATTTTTATGTAAAGCCCCCAATATTTTTTATAATTGACGGTAACTTTAATCACCTTCTAATACCAAGAATTACGGAAAGCAAACCTTGAAAGGATTATGGATCCAGATTCTACCGGTATACTCTAAAACCTAACCGTTTCGTGCCGTTTCTTATATTAGAAATAAGTTTTTTATGTAATTGGATTGACTAACAAGCAATAATATTTATTCGTCTTGATTATGTTTTCAAAAACTATACATAAAAAAGGGTTACACTGAAATCCATATTGAGATGAAGACTTCTAACATAGGAATTCTAACCGTTAACAGGATTTAGGTCACGATCGAAAACTTGAGGTTGTATAAATGGATTTGTTCGGCTTTGTAAATGTTTCCAAAGGGAGGGAGGAAATGGTGAGGCTCTGATATACGCCGACCTCGCGTGTTCCGCACAGATAGGAGCGGACAGTTGTAGAAGCTTTTGCCCATCTCTATTCCCAAGGAAATAATATTGTTTTGTTAGACTTGTTTATTATAGGCATAATGGAATGATATATTTTTTTCTTAAGTCCTTTAAAAATCTTAAAATACAGAAGAGTAATGGGTGTACTTTAATATTATTTACGTTTACGTGTAAATCAATGGCGATATGTAGGTAACTGTATATACAATATTTATTAAGACAATTTTATCTTCATTTGGTTCATCCAGATCATATTTTAACAGAAATAGAAATAATCTTTAAATAATTTAAGAACTTTTGAACAGTCTTATTTTTCTATTCTATTACTTATTCAACAAGCAAGAATTTTGCGTGTTGCTACTTTAAATAAAAGAACACATAAACATCCAAACATATAATAGGACATGTATAAAATTAGTAGGATCTAATTAATCTGGAAGAATCTAACATAATTTACCCTGGTCAGCATAATGTAGTACCCAGCAACAGATAAGTATATTAATGTTTAAACCGAAAAGGGTATAATTTACTTAGCGACAGATTCACTAGTTTTATTGGCTAAACCTTACCTTTCTGTGACCTTTAGTTAGCTTTGTATAACAACCTTGAATACACCTGTATCATATATTATTACAGGCCGATAAAAAGGTTGGTCAAGCTTGAATTCAGCTCATTACAGGAGTATGGGACTATGGGAGTTTTAGTGGAGCCCCGGGAAATCAGCTTGTGTTTATTTACGAGATGAAGGTAGACGCGTGAGGAAAATGTAATTAAAATATCCCGTTTTATTTTCGTGTTTCATCTAATTAACGGGTTTAAATAAAAAATTTGCGCGGTGTCCAGGCCTAAGGGTTTAAAAAAGTTATTTCCTCCTCTCTCGGTACAGACAATTAAGTTTTATAAGGAATATATTTTTTATTTTTGTAGCGGCAGTGGTCGCTTCAGCGTTGGGATTTATGGTAAATATTTTACACTAGCTATAACCTGTGATTTCATATACTTTTTTAAGATTGAATATAGCTTTTGTGCAATAAACTATCTTCACTTTAAAATTTATTAAGATGTGTTCAGCCGTTTAGTACTTAGTAAAACAAAAACAATAAATAAGAATAATAAAGAATAGAAAATAATAAAGAATAACATTTTAAGTACAGAATTTGATCTGATAACAAATAAAATGGGTATCTATTTATTGTTAATCAGAAATAAAATATTTTTAGCTACTTTTTGTATCAATGAAAAACGATTACAAATACATATTAATAATATAGATTCGCAAGCGTGTCTGCCTGTCGGACTGTTTGTTACAGTTTCACGGTTAAAGGACGGAACGCATCATAATGAAAATTGATATAAAGAAAGATTGTATCATGAAAACGAACAAAGGCTATATTTTATTACAAACAATAATCTGGATGGGATGAAATAGGGGTGAAATTTTGTGCAGATGAAGTCGCGGGTAACTGTAATTTATATATGAATGAATGAATTAATAAATCCAGCCTAAGACGTGACAAAAAAGAAACTAAAGTAAACCTGTTATAATGCTATTCTGTAGCCATAGTGTTTCAACAAATACTTCGGCAAATTTATTTAAAAAAGAGAAATATTACTGCATTGTAAATGAGAATAGCTCGAAATACGGCTAAAGCCAAGAGATGCCAAAAAGATATTCGCATTTCGAGCTCGCAGCAGCCGGGTTGATTTATTGAATTTCAAATAGTTCTGTACAGCTCCTGAAGATCTATCTAATTTTCTATTCGAAAGCGAATGCAATTCAAGTACTTTATTTATTGTTTTAAATTTACGTACCTATTACAATACGTAAGGAAAAATTTCAATAGTAGCAACAAACGAAGACAAGTGAATGTAGACTAATATGTCTGCTCATAACATTTTAATTATCATCTATCCGCTGCTCTTCAGTTTACTCGTGATCATGGCGATTGAAACGCTAACGAAATATCGGGAACTCAATAAAAAAAAATAACACCAGGTCAGATTCTGTGATTTTTCCTAACAGTGCTTTATTTGTTATCCTAAAGAAGCCAATATTTATTATATACAGAACAAAAATACATTTTTTATACACGACTATATGTTAGCCGTGTTTTATACTGTATTTTTGAGTTAAAGTTTGATTTCTTTCATCTTTTCATGCCACATTTCAATAAGAACCGACCAGCCGTCGAAAAGAGAACAAATATATGTAGATACAGATTTGAAGTCACGCTTTGCAATGTTCCTATTAGTATAGGAACAATTTTTAGTAATATAGGTTTTATTATTGTTCAAAATAAACAGAAAAGAAAATGACGATAGTTTACGCCTTTATATAGACGTATTATATATATAATAGCAGCATAAGGGATGTCACAGAATATGTTGTGTCGGCTATGACATCTTTCTAACGTTATCATTGCTGAGGAATACAGTGTTAAGGATACATACCCTATAATTTTACTGACATATCTTACCCCACAAGCCAAACACAGGTTACTACCGAGGTAAGAGTTACCAAGATAAAATCTTGTACAGCTTATTAACAAGGTAAGAGAGAGTGAATTAAAATCTTGTACAGCTTACTAACAAAGTAAGACAGGGCGAGTTAAAATCTTGTACACTACTAACGAGGTAAGAGCCAACAATTTTTTTTTATACCACTTAGTTGGCAAACAAACATACGGCCCATCTGATGGTAAACGGTTAAATATAAAATCTTGTAAAAAATACTAAACACCTTGTAAACAAAAGTATAATTAGTGTAAAACAACAAATAATACTAACAACAATACATTGTTATGCAACCATATTATCACACGAGGAGCTTTGTATACCAAAGCAAATAATGCACTTTAAATTTCCTATTAAAAAGATTTTACAAGTTCATTGACAATTGAATTATTCCGAGCAATACGTAACAATTAAATTTAAATCTTCATTACATAAAAATAGAATATATCAAACAATGTATACATATATGTATATAATATATCGTTTGTTTTATATATATTTTATAGTCTGCGTGACCGATCCGAAAAAGTAGCCTATGTCTTTCATTACAAATATTACCCGTAAACCAAATTACATAGCTACTGTCGTTAAGAAGTAAAGAAAAAACAATCAAATAAACTAACACTTACCTTATTTGTAAGAATTTACGATTGAGAGTCAAAATATATGTATATTTAAAGTACTCTATTCGCTTTGGATTGAATAAATGCGGGAGATTCTTATAATTAATCTTTTAGGATACTGAAATTTTCAAATGTATACTCAGTAATGTCCTTTTGGTTTCTGAACTCGGCTTTCTCAATCTTGCTGCTTGGACTACCAGTAGTCTTCAACCAATGTGTCCTGAAAGAAAATAATAATAATAATATCCTTGGACTATTTATACAACGCCATCTAGTCCCAAGCTAAGCAGAGCTTGTGTGTACTAGACAATGATAGATTTACTTAGTTTTACTTAAATTTGCAAATACATAATATGCATAGGAAGCACCTAGACCAAGACAAACAAACAGTCATACTTATTAATAGTGTTGTAACTGGCTAATGAAGACATGTTTTATATTCTAAATTTGTATTTAAATTTATAGTTCTTTTATATTACATTCATGTTTTTGATACTTCAATTTCATTCTTCCTGTTCCTAATTGTCAGTAGTCTGTATTAATATATTTTCTCCGTTTTACCTAGTCTTTTTTCTTATTACTACAACAAATAGAAATGTTTGTACCGTGCGAATCGAAACCACGACTATCGGCACTAAACCGCTAGACCACCGAGACCGCATACAGTTTAAAAAAAAAGCTGATTGGCGGCTGAAATAGATGCAGGTAGGTGACAACTCAAACGCCCTTGTACAAAATCTACCTTGGTTTAGGCAGTCAGGTGAAAAGCAAATAAAAATAGCTTACATGTAGGTATAAAGAGATTATTCCCCATATTCGGCTCAAAGGGTTATACAGCTAATGGACTTGCGGATGTATTCAATGTACCTCAATAGGTATTGAGGTACATTGAATATATCCGCAAGTCGCCTGCCTACAATGTAAGTGATTGTAAAGGCTTGTATACATGTAACATGTAAATACTATTGAAATGCCGTTTTATTACAAAATTAATTGTTACCTAGGCATAAAGAGACGTCAATTAATTTGATGTACTAATACAATAAAATGGCTTGGATTCATGACACGAGGTTTGAATGTGGATGAAGTAACAGTTATACGTAAGGAGAGAAACCAATGACACTTGACTCTACGACCCCATAAGGGATCTGTTCTAAATATAGATATAGTTGAAAACATCTTTACTGAACTCTAAAGAAATTCAAAAGAAAATGTATCGGGATAAAAAACTAAAAGATTAAATTACGTATACGTAACTTTAAAACGAGTTGTATTCAACAACTAATTTAAAAATCTTATTTTGAATACCACAAAAAACATGGCTATTAGAATATAGAAGCGGGATTGTGTGTAACAGAGAATTTAAGTGAAAATTGGCCAAAGTTTTCTCAAGCATTTAAAATTTATGTTGAAACGGGCTAACAACCGTCCCTGAAATAAGAAAACTTGTAATATTGCTAAATATTATGAGCGTAGACGCTCTTCGGAAAATTAATTCAAGGGACGACAGTAAGTTCGCCCGTAGTTGCTGCCGCGTTCAATTTAAATATGTTAGGTGAAATGTGGGCATAAACAATACTGCAAGTTCGACAAAATTAGAGAGACACTTCCTAAGTATAAAGTGGTGTCACAAACCTAAAACTCAAGAGGGATTATAGCCGTGAGCTTTTATTCTTAATCTATTAGGTTATCGAGATACATAGAGTCCCGTCATCATTACCGGCTTCTTCCTTATCCCATTCAGTGGTGGTCAGCTTAATATTTTTCTTCCATTCATCCCTGTTCGTAATCATCTCGTTAATTACTATCTTTTTTTCATATCATCTTTCACACAATCCATCCATATCTTTTTAGGTCTTATAATTATCTATTCATATGTAAAACTTTCTTTAAAATGGGTCATAGGTACCTTTGTCTCACCTAAGTCAGAGGCTAAGCAGTTGACAATGACAACTGTGGTACATGGCAAATATTGCAGTAAAATTATAAGCCACGCAGGCACACCTTTCGGGGAGGTGAAAGAGTCATAGGAACTATTTTCAAACTAGTCTCGAACTATAAGAGCTGAGAGGAAGCTGGTTTAAAATCGACAGGACTCCGGCAGTACCCATTAGTCCCTTGGGTCTCTATGACGGATTTTCCTGATGTACAAAAAGGCATGACACCTTAGTCCTCCGGAATAGAAACAAATGGTACCAAGAGCGACGCATGTTAACTTAATGTTCGTCATTCTGGTAATGAATTACGGACAGACGGTTGCCACTAAACGTGAGGGTCTTAGGTCTGAGCTGAGCCGTAAGCTTGCATGCCATTCCAGATAAGTATAGAAAAAAGGTTACATAAATAAACTAAATAAATCTGTTTACACTACATTACTGTCTGTATTTAAACGACGGTTTAATATAGATAAGTAATTATGGCCAGCTTACTATTTGCATAGTTACAAAAGTCAAATTGGTAACATATAAAATAATAAATCATGAACAATGCTAACAAAAATCCAAATCCAAAAATAAACTATTTGTAAGGTTACTATTACAGAGTTTCCCGTGGGAAAGGTTTTAGGGTCGACAACGCGCGCGAAATAACCTTTAGTGCTCCGTATATGTATTACGTTGCTAATACTTACGAGTCTACAAAAATAGTTCGCTGTCAGTCGACCTCAGGGATGATAACCGAACGACAATCCTCGTAGAAGTACGAGATTCTTAGCCTCCGGAATAATGTCATTTACACGTGCCCATTTGTACGAGATATCAGGCTACGGAAATCGGTCAAAATACGATGATGTACGAAGTTCGATAACCGAATAGACCTAATATACGTGATTATATCGGACTTTTTATTTCTGGTATGATCCTAAATGTTTCAAAATTTGATCTACATGCCTATTTCAAAAGTCTGCACTGAAATAAAAGAAAATCGGCCGTAAGCATGTTAGGTTCCGTGTATGTTATTTTATGTTTGTAAATTGGTCGTTGGTAAGTAATTGACACACAATTATATTGTAATGAGAATTAATATAAATAAAGAATAATGAATTATTGAGATATAAATATCATCATTCTACGATAAGTATGTGTAAGTTAATTTGTTGATGTCTTGTTTCACTGTCTACTATTTCTACTGTGAAGTAGTTAGTTAATCAAGTTCGAGATCACTTATCTCGAAAATTCTAGGAAGATCAAGAAGTTTATTACCGATTCCAGTTATAATAACAATTCTACATCATCATTCCGATAGTAGATCAATTTGAATTTGTTTTAGATATTGAGAATGAAAAATTTGAACTAGGGTTGTCAGTTTTAAATTGTTTTTGTAATAAGCCTAAATCTAAACTTCCTTGATCATATCTTCAATATTGCAATGTACATTCTAAATATAATTTTGAAACTAATGATAATGAAGTATAAAAACACACATAATAACTTACATTGTCTCCACTTTATCAGCTGGTCCTTGCATATGTCCTAGAACTGTTCCTTGCGCTGTATTCTTGCACCAGCCTCGCAATCCTAATTTCTCAGCCTGCTCCTTTGTGTACTAAAACAAAATAGTCACGTAGAATATTTTATTAGATATTTATGTCTATCTCTTTGTTAAATATACATACAATTTACAATTCAAATTTCCATACTGCCACTTAATTCCCGAATCATCAATCATCAATACATTTTCTTTTTTAAAGTTGGATATTAGAACAGAAAATGTATCTATACATTTTCTTAAGAGTATATAAAAAAAGATTTCATATTCAATAATGCTTAAATATATATTTATAAATTATTTTCTTATTGTCCACATTAAATAAATATTTTGAGATTTGGTAAATAATCAAAATTACACATTACTAACTGTATGATAGGTAATGACACTTAAGTATATAGGATATTCTGGCATATATAATTATTTTATATTATATATTCTATAAAGTACATATATATACTGGATAAAATCTAAATCAATGTACCAATTTATGAAGCTATGGCTGAGTTTAAAATTATTGAATTTAGTTTGGTTAATTTATATTTTTATTCTGTACTCTCTACTTGCTTGTAGGTGTTTTACACCTACATGCAGGTAGAAAACTCTTATATATTATATTTTATTGATTAATACAATACAATGCCCCATTACATAATTTTAGTAACTGCAGTTTTAACTAAAAAAGTTTAAATACAAAGTAAATTAATATAGACAGTGTACATACATACTTATAGAAATGAGTAATATAATATAACATAGTACGCTCCTTAGTTTTGTTTTTACAAAAACATTATTTTATTAACAAATAATAATACGAGATGAATATGTTAAGAATCTATGATAATTCTCTTGTAATCTAAAAACACAATTACAAAAATTACACTGTACGAACCTTTCTAAAGAAAACACCCTGAACCCGGCCAAATACTTCGAAATCTGCAGCTTTCAATGCCATGGTTATAATAGGTGCTGCTGCGGTACTGGTACTAGAGCTAACTTTTAGTACACTCGTCACTGTCGTCAAAACTAATAAACGTAACATTTAGAAAACAGTTATGTACATTTTAATAAATTGTTTTCGAAATTCAGAACATTTACCACACTATTTTGGAAACTTGGTGAAAATTTCAGTATTGCCAGTTTTTAATTTCTTATGATATGTGAAGTACAGTGTTACGTAATATTATATTATCTGTGGTATTACACTATTAAACAACTTTTTTATAAACTAATAACTATAACATTTCCGAAATTAACAGCAATGTATTTAATATTTTTTCAGTAGTTAATAATGACATGACTGATTCGACTGAAATGACTTATACTACAAAGTTGTTATTGACTGATGGTTCAAATGCATATTTTGACAGCCGTACATGAACTGACTCTGACTGACAAGCCAATCTGATTGTTTCGTTCAGACTCAGTGGTGAGAAATTACGTCTATTTTGTTTGTTTTCTTGTAATTTATTAATAAAGTCTATATTCTACTCTCTTTTATTGTTTTTTACAGAAGTCTACGACGATAAATAACACTACAAGCACAATGGCATTCTATTGTTGTAGCAGGTTAGTTTGCAAATATTATGTAATGGTAGTGTTTTTGCTCATAATTTGAAAGTGTCTCATATTAATTAACTGTTTCAGATTGGGAACTAAGTCGGTATTTTCAACTATTAATAAGTTCCCTACAGTATTGGGTACTGCTCAATATGCACAAGCAGCGGGTGCAATCCCAAAAATTACCTACAAAAAGTACGAGGAACCGAAGCCAGAACATCATGATATTAGAAATGAAAAACTCAATCGCCCTTTGTCGCCCCATCTCACCATTTATTCTCCCCAACTTACCAGTATGTTATCTATAACTCATCGCGCCGCAGGTCAGTTCTTTCAATTGAATATTTTCATACTGTTACAATACTATTTCAAAGTGACTTAAATTGTTAATATTATTTATTTCACGAATTTAAATATGTACATAAAATCATGTACAGAGTACATAGAGTTTGTTGCTATCATAATGAATTATTCTTATTTAAAATATAGTCAAATGATTCTCAAGTTCAAATATAAAAAAAAAACATAATTGCACTGCAATGATATTGATGCAAATCGGTTTTATTTATTTACCTATTCTATTTGCATTTTATAATTATCCTAATTCTGATACCTTTTTTACATTTGTTATATTTATTACTATGGATAATTCAGGTACATTACTAAAATATATATTATTTTTTAGGGATGATTTTGTCTGGTTATGTAAGTGCCCTGGGGATTGGGGCATTAGTTCTGCCGAATGATGTATCTCACTACATCACCATGATCGAGGGGCTCAACCTGTCCCCAGCAACACTATTACTGGCAAAGGCTATTATTGCAGCTCCATTAGGCTACCACTTTGTCAATGGTATCAGACATTTGTACTGGGACACAGCTAAGGGTTTAACTATCAAGGAAGTGTATGCTACTGGTTATGCGATGCTGGCTGCGTCAGCTGTTGTTACTCTCATTATCGCAGCATTATAATTATAATCATAACACATTAGAATAAAAAAAGATGTTCTGGAAAATAATATTTATTTGTTACCATTTTAAGTAATATATTTAATAAAAAGTTCACAATCAGACTTGTTTTCACTGTGTCATATATTATACATATCATTAAGTAAAAAAAATTTGGTTATGTTTCCTTAATAATATGAAAGTGTAATTCAAGCAATTCCACAGTTAGAAATTACGTCATGGATAGTCTTAAATTTCTCAAAGTCCAGTTTTTCTGTAGTTTGCAATCCTGTTGCAGCATTCTGTAAGAAATGAATTTTATATTACTTGCAATCTATGCTCTTTTCAGATTTTAATGATAAGGATGTGAATTTAATTTTAAAAGATACAAAAATTACAAGCTTTTTATTTTTATGTACTAAACCAACATAATAGTACTCAAACCAGCCTATAATAATTTGTTCTATGTATAATTGGGTACAATACTAACATGTATGACTGTATGATTGCTTCATCATAAGAATGACAATTTTATTAATTTAAAATAAAAAAAAAACAGGTTTGAAAGGAATAGCATATTTTATATAGTTCTTGTTTACAGGGATTGTTGAACTTTAAATAACCAATCTGTTAATTTATTAAGTTAACATATTTTTATTATAAAAGCAATCTTTTTCCATTTGTAATCTATCTATAAGAACCTGAAGATCATTTGTAAGGCTCTTTTGTAAAATTATAATCCAAATATGACAAAGTAATGGAATCTAGCAACTACTAGCAATCATTACCTTCTCTCGGCATCACAGACAATACATATCTCCCTGCAGTAAATCATACATTACCTTTTTCAAGGACTAATATGACACATATATAATTAATCCCCTCCAATCAATCAAATTCAAATGGGTATCAAAATTACGACGGCCTGAGCCGAGGTTCGAACCCCTAGCGGTGCCCTCAGACTTAATTCGTATCTGTCAGGCAGGAGTTATCTTCAGACGATAGACCCAAACCCGCAGAAAGACTTCTGCGGGTTTGGTTCTATCTGTAATAACTTCCTATCGTCCGGTAAAGCTGTAAAGGCCAGCTGCGGCTAATAACATTAGAGTAGTTCGAAAAAATATTTGTATATAATTGATATGTAACAACGGTATACTTACATTGAAAATGATATTATTGTTCTTTAGGTATTCTCCATAAATATTGAACAGATCAATCCTGGTGTCGAGAAGTTGGGCCAAACTTAATGGAGTATGTGCTATCGATACATCAGATATGCTGGTTTTAGCAGCTAGGAAAGTTCTCGAGGGGGCCATTGCGATATTGCATGTAGTATACTTTGAAAGTGCATCTCGGCCCCCAGTTTCTCTGTTTAGACACAGAAGCTCATATTGCGACTCGTCATAATTATGCAAGTCGGCACCTGTAACATAATAATAACAAAAACAATTTTATTTGTAAAAGATTTAGAATACATTACCTATAGGATGTTATCGAAAATGTGGCCCTTGCAAAATCTACTTAGGTATAACAAGCTACAAATCTTTAAGTTCATTAATCTTTAATTATTGTTTGTTTATATAATTATTAATTATTCTATATGTCAAATTATAGTACGTATATCTAGATGTCCTCAGATATTATTTATTTAGGTTTCCGATTATATATTATTTTAATATATATAAATGTTCAGTACGTGTATTTGTAACTCCTAAACGGCTGGACAGATTTGGATGAAATTTTGTGTGTGAATATTGTTATATACAATGGGTTTCAGAATGCTTTGAAAACACAATTGGACCTGGGAAGTTGCGGTTTTTCCGAGTACGACGACGTTTGCCCGGTCCACTAGTACCTAGTTCATAATAATTTAATATTTTGTTCTACCAAAAGCGACTTCAATGGCGATAAACGAATTAAAGATATATAAAATATATGACTAAATCTTCTGAAACTATTAAAATAATATTATACTGTACTAGCTCGTCAATTCGTCTGTGGAATTAAAATTTATATATTAAAATAAATAAAATTCCTGAAATAAAAATAGCCAAGTTACTCCTTATAAGCTAGTGCAAGTGAAACTCCCGTCAAAATCAATCCCGCTATTTCAAAGATTAACAAGAACAAACAGACAGACAAACAATTATTTTTATATTATTGTTTTGTTGTAAGTACCGTATATACTTTCATACGCATTTAGTGAAAAGCTGTTAATTTGAAACAGGTATGAACTTACTCGATACGAATGCAACATCAGCTCGTTCATCTTGAAGACACTTGAGTGGAGTATTATCAGTCGTGCATAATTTCTTCAGCGATGAAACATCAGTACCTAGCCATGGGTAAAAAAATTATTACTTAATTCAATTATAAATAATCTAGATATAATAAAATGAATCTCTATTTCCCTTGGAGAACGATTGAACGACAAGAACGACTTAAAAAAATGTTTATCATATTTTTTTCTTTTGTAATATGTATGCAAAAGGTTCTTACAGGATGAAGAATTAAAAATATTGCGGAGAAAATTTTTAGAAAACTTCATAACCATTTTAACTTTTGCGTTTGGTAGCTATTTGCCGATTCACTAAGACATGGCAACATCTCGTGTCGAGTCAATATATTAGTAAGTTACTGTCAATAATTATTCTGATTACGCGATACATATGTGATTACACAGTGAAGGTGTTTTTTATATGGATAATAATGTAATGATGCACCCTCCTGCGCTAAGTTTACGCTGACGGGGCACTAGTGGAGCATGATAAAATGAGTAATGTCAAATCAGTTAGCCCATTTTGGAAAATGGTAATTTAGCAGGATGTTTTACAGATCGACACCAGCGATTTATACTAAGCTAACTCGAATTTTCAATGAATTCGTTTTTTATGCTAAACTGCTTAAAATGGAGTTTTTTATATATAATAAAAAAAATCGCTTTTTTATGCTGAACTGCTTAAAATGGTGTTTTTTATATATAACAAAAAAATATTAAGAAAAATATAAAAATAACGAAGTTACTGAAAATTCGAGTTAGCTTTGTATAAATAGCTGGTGTCGAGATGGAACCTCGTGGAGGTCAACCTGACATGGTAGATGGTCAGCAATGAGGTTATTACTAAAATTACTAACAATCATCTTCTCCCTCTTGTGAAGGTGTTTATTATAATAAGATTAGGTAATAGATACCTTTAGGATTATATTCCGGCTTATCAACACCAGGTATGCATGAACCACGAGAGAAGAAATCGCCAATGCCTTTAACACACTGAAAAAGGGGTCAAAATTTATAAAAAATTATAGTGTGTTGAAAAATATTTTTCAAATTCGAACTGACCGTGTGCTTCACAGTTTTATGGTTCACTTTATTTAAAATCAAGTGTGTGGAAAAACGTCGTACGATATACCTACGTACGTATTTAACACACTCTGCTCTATTACACCACCGATTTCGACTCTAGCTGTAATTTCGCCTCGTATGTTATAACCACCTTAACGCACTTATATCGTAATATCTATCCTAATTATTATGAACTACAACTAATGAAAGTCACCCTCTCCGATCGATATCCCATCCAATCGTTGATCGAAATTACGAAGGCCTTTGCCTAGGTTCGATCCCCGAGCGGTGCTCTCAGACTAAAGTCGTATCCGTCAGGTAGGATTTGACCTTCAGTCCCTAATCGTTTCGTAAAGCTGTAAAGTAACTGAGGCCAACAATATTAGTCCGAAAAAGCAAGTCGTGGTTACTTTTTATTCCTTTAGGACTTTATTGTGACTAAGTACAAAATTATTAGAACTTTTTAATTAAATGAAAGAAACTGAAATATGTGTTACTTACTTCATTAGAATTTGTGCTTATTTTACCCTTGTTGATTAGATAGAAAAGCGGTGCGTGGAGGCCGCTGAAACTACCGTACGAGTTGTGGCAAGATCTGAAATATCATTTCAGTGTCAACATCATAATAAAGATGTAGGTACTGCACGCAGACAATGTAACTGTCATTAATTGAATTTCCATTTAAATTAAATTAATAAAATATTTAAAGCGATTTCAACAAGGAGCAAAGTGCTCATGATATGAAATTCAATTTTATTCTTCATTTAAAACCATTAGTGGACTACTAATGGTTTTAGACAAAAGCCGTTCTTAGTCCGAGTATAATTCTTGAAGTGAAGTAAGTATATTATGCGATAGGTATATATTATAGGTATTTCTATGATATTTTACCTTTGTGTTGGTTCCCCATAATTATTATTATTGATAATAGATTCAATTGAGAGTGTCACACACACTGATGGTAATTTTGCTATGATTAAAATCCAAATATTTTGTGGACTAAATCTTAGACCATCTAGATTTCGAATCACTTAGCCCGAATTTATTTCATAATTATATGAGGCTACAAAATTAGAATAAGCCGAAAAGTAGATTGAATTCAGTTTTTCGGATCATGATGAATGAATGACTTCTCTATTTTTTCTCTCACAGAAAATATAGTTACATACACAATTATGTAAACAACAAACAAGATTTTAATTCATTAAAACAAATATAAAAAAATACATACCGTTTTCCCCTCAAGTCTTCAATGTTGTTGTACGCGGTACCTTTCTTAACGACCGCGACAGCGTAGTTTGGAGTTTTCTTCTCACCGTACACTTCATGGAACACGGGATGTAGACCATATTTCTTGCTTGCGGACGCTACTCCGAGATCATCCACTGATGTTAGATCTGAACCATTGTCTTGTACCTGCGTTTTTAGTTTTATATTTTTTTAAATTAATTTTAGTTCTAAGGTACTTTTTTAAATAATACTTATGTTGTTTAATGCTTGTCGTTGAGTTTTGATTTCGATACATATGTATTTTTAACAAGCTTCCATAAATAGGTGGTTTTAATTAGACTGTGTTGTATATTACTTGCAAGTTAAGTATCATTGCAAGTTCTGATTTTTCTTCTCGTGTTGATTCCATGCTAATTTCGTCATGAACAAAGCAGTGTTTTTTGTCTACTTTGATGGATACAAAATTACAATAAGGACTATTTTTCTGTGCAGGTTTTTTGGCTTTCAAAGGATGATTCTACTTACACTTTTAAGACACTCTTCTTCCGAACTTTGCTGCACACAATCCAATATCGGCCTAATGTCTCGGCTAAACGCAAACGTGGACATAGACCTGCATTTAGCTAGCGCCACGTTGGATGTCACGCACATCCTACAAACGGAATAGGTTAGTGAGTCATCTTCTGAGGGCTTTCAAGTGTTTCAGGTACCTATCATAAATATATACAGCTCGATAAGACTTGGTGGTTTTTAAACATTGAAAACGTTGGTTTTCTAGTTTCTAGCCATCGATAACTAACTTTCAACTTTATATTCAGTACACAAGATTCGGTTTAAGTTTGGAAAAACGTACGTTGATTGTGAATTCCACCCGCGTCCGACTTGAATTACCCAATTTTGAACTTTATTCTAGGAGTAGTAGATAGAAGAGCATGAAAATTGGATGTGCAATTTTTGTTAGTATTCTATAAGTTTTGTTTATTGTTTTTCTTTCATTCTGTTTGTTTAGAGAGAATTTTTCAGTTATAGGTACTTTTTATTAGTCTAAGCTGAACATACATTTATAGTACATATAGATTTATGAAACTTTATGTTATTAGTTATTTTAAAATTACCAATCAGATTAGACAAGATAAAATGTTACTTTATATAGGTGTACTAGCTGAATCCTGCAGCGTCATTCGAGTAAATTCAGCTCAGGCATTTAGCTGTAAAAAGGTTACAAACAAATAGAAAAATACAAATAGACTAGGCTCACATAATTAGTTTCAATCTGGGAGAATTGTGGTAACGACGCCATTTGATTGGCGGATTGTCAAAGTGGGCGGACTTAGGCGCCAATGAAACGATATCGTCAACCCTCCGACTCTTTTCGGAAATGTGTGAACAGGGTTATAATATTAGTATAGATGGGTAATATGATCATCTTCTAAATTTAACTTAGATTGTGTAATGAACTACTTGCCGAGGTTCGAGAGACTACAGCATTGGGTTTTCAAGAAGGGTATATTAAGGTTTCTTAAGGGTCAACAACGCACATGTGATATATCAGGTATATATCAGCCCTGGTATATCATGCTTAGATAGGCTACGGTAATCGTTTGCCATCAGATGGGCCGTATGCATGTTTACCACTATTGTAAAAATTAGGAAAAATGAGAAATTTACCTGACAACCAGTTCTGGAGCTCCGTGTCCTCTCTCAATGACATCTGTGTAGTTAGCTTTGCTGAGATAGGCAGTTGGCTTGATTGGTATGTTGTCTGTGACGTGGTGCATCTTCTCCGAAAGACCTAGGACTTTTGTGAACCAATCTGGTTTACTGGTGGCTCCTACAATAGAACAGTTTATTTTAAAATATATACATTGTTTTGAAATCTCTTATGTAAGTACGATTTCGATATAGAAATTGTTTCTTATTTCAATATTTAACATACGTGTTACAGATGCGGCTGATTTATTTTAATAAATGCATGATATATAAAAGAATTTTACTATTAACTTATAAACGTACCCGCATCAGCCAATTGTTTGACCTTTTCCCTGAGTGGTGAAAGTTGGGCCAAGATATCGTTGTGACCAATCAAGCCCTGCCAAGGTCTCGCGGCCCATGTACAAGGTTTACCACCAACTGGGACCTTGGTTCCGTCCACGCACAGATAGCGAAAATCTGTCGGATTCTCAGGTGACGGCTTGGCGGGTATCGTGCCTAGTGGAAGCTACAAAGTAACAACAACCAATATTAGTATCATAAAACCGTAGTGGCTCAATGGTTTTCGACTTGTATTCCAAAGGTGAGTACAAATCTGACTGATACATAAAAAAATATATTTTTACATTCCGTCTACATATCCTGTAATTAAAACACCGACAACAAACAAAATGATTCGAGACTTGTGTTTATAACGCCTACAATTACAAGAGGACGATTTTGACTTTCCCTATCTGGCCAAATATTTCTTACTACTCATTTTGTTACTATTAGTGCTATTAGTATCATGATGAGCATATAAATCATGCAGAATAAAATTTGTTATTTTAAGACCAAAATTACCTATTTACATAAATATAGTCTTCTCATTTGTGTACACTTTTTAGGGTTCCAGCACCAAATGTTTTGTATGCCATTTGCCTTTAGATCTACATAACGTGTAAACTGTTTGTATAGGTATTTGTAAGGTATATCACAACAATTAAACAAGGTTATAATGATCTTCATTCATTGTCATTCACAAATAAGTGCACAGAAATTACATAAATATGTTTAGAAAAAAAAAATCTACAAAGAATATGTATAATCACAGGATCAATAATCCTGAACTATTTAATAACATTACGTATATCTCAATACATATTAATGATAATACGTTATCTTCAATATTTTTGAAATATACAGAATCCTATTTATGTGTGACCGACACGCTCTTTCTTTAGTAACTTTTGTCCTAGTTGCAAATACAATATCTTCCCGACATCTGCAAGGAATACTAATTATAATATTCAATGACATGAAGTAGGTGATTTTAGTGCTGATTTAGTAACCTGTTGTTCCTTCATAGAATCCCTACTAATATCAAGAGCTGAAGAGTTTGTTTGTTTTGTTGAACGCGCTAATCTCAGTAACTACGTTTCGTATTAAAAAGTAGTTCTAGTTTTTTTTTCGGACTACTCTTACTGTTGTATTGTTGGGTACCGCTGGCCTTTACAGCATCATCGGACGATAAGGGGTCCTGTAAAGGTCAGTGGTCGAGGCAAGTGCAGATGGCACTGCATACTTGCAGAAGGACTTATGGTGCGGCTGCTCTGTATACGTCAGGTATACGACTTTAGAGTTATTTTAGTGTAGGATAGCCCATTTATGAAAAAATATGACAAATGCTATTGGCCATATTTATTACATTTTTTATTACATTACGATACGAACAATGAAAAGCGTAGTATGAAAATTGTTGAAAAAGCGGGCAAAATGTTATCCTTTTGAGAGGTTCAGTTGCGTCAGACACAGAGTGGTTGATAGACATTATATATTATGTAACCAGGATGATATTTTTCTACGTACACAATCCAATCTTCATAAAATTCCTATAGAACCATATACATACGTGTAAATTCTGTCGATTGCACAACGATTAAATGAAATAATCAAAATATGGAATAGAACAGGCGATTTTGTTGTTTTTCAGTTCGCATGTTGCCAAATGTATATAGTATTCTATTATTATAAGCCATAAGGTGTATTTTTACTTACTCCAAAGAATTTGTGTACATAGAAGACTTTTGTGAAGGCAACTTCACCACCATTGTGGGCCAAGCACCTTAACGCCCCTTCGTAACCACTGTAGTCATCGGGGTAGTCACATTTGTCAGGATGTTGGCACAGCGCACATAATTGATTGTATTGGGACTCTGAAAATCATTTATTTTATTTTTTAATTTAATCTATGGTTATTACCACGGTGTATAACAAATACAGAGTGTAAGCTTTCCAATCAGTGCTCAATCGTATATCATGTTTTTTTTATGATTCACTCAGGACCACGAAATCCCACTCTAAGCAAAGCTTATGTTAACAGTACTAGACAACTCATATAAATATATATTGTTTTCTGTAAATACATACATAATATATGTACATAAAAAACAATCATACTGATGATAAAAAAGTTTCTACTGTGCGAAGAATAGAAACCGAAACCACCGGAAATAATGCGGCGTGCTAAACCATTAGACGATCGAGGCCGTCAATGTTACGTCGTTACTAATCAATCATTACCAATCTTGTAAGACATTTTTTTTAAAGCTATACTCAGGAACCGCTTGTCTAGTACCAAGATCACTTGTCTAGTGCCCATAACCCAAGCTCTGCTTAACATGGGAGTAAATAGGGCTGTGTGAATTGTCAAAGAATATTATTATTATTGTGTATTTTCTTACTCCACGCCGATGTGGTTTTTACATCAGGCGACCAAGTGCCAACAATGCACGATTGTTTGAAGAAAGTGGATAGAGCTCGCAGTTCGTTCTCCTTTGGTGATATGGAGTGATCATTCATCTTCGGAAATATCGACCTCTTCATCAGCATTGTTAAGGGAATCTATGAGAAATACTCTTACGTTAGTCATTGTTTATCATTAAATTTAAAAAAAAGTTATAGTTTTTTTTTTATCCTTTAGGAGCAATAAAACTTATTGCAAATGAATTTCGTTGAATTTATGTACTTATATTATTGAAAATAAGTTAAGTTGGTGACCAAGTTGACCTATATGATTAAGACATAAATAGTTCTTGTTATGAATATTTTCTTCTATTTCAAATTTCTGTTTAAAGGATCCGAGTTACTATGCACAGGTGATTATCTACCTACACATACAGTTATTGTTATTGTGTTTTCGATTTCCAATTCGAGTTTATCAGAATCAGAATCGAGGCTATCATAATTCGAGTTTTCCCCTGCTATCACATACAACACAATAAGACAAGAAATGTCATATAATAATAATTATAGGTATAGCTACTTAATAAACAAAACAAATATGAATATTAAAATTCAATATTTATACAGGAACCAGTTAAACTTTACATTGATGATCGTAAGACTTTTGCAAAGTTGTGGAACTCGTTTCCATCAGTGTAAATAATAAAAGTTTATTAACACAAACCAGCTTATAAGTAGGTAAAAATTAAAGAAAATGTAAAGAGCTTCAATGAATTAAAGTTATTAATTGTTAATTAGTTATTTCGCACACATAAACTAATTCAGAAGATACTGGTGAATGTAGGGAATTTAACGTAAAAGAAGATACTTCTAAAGAAAAGGTAGCTACTCGTATGTGAAAGAAAACGCAGAAGGGATGTGCACCCGTGTATAACTGATAGGAAACATTAACTAAACATTATAGCTAATGTAATTATGTATATTTTGACTAAGTAGATATATAAGTTACAATATTATACATGTTTTTTATGTAATTTAATGGCAAACAAGATGGCGGTTCACCTGTTGGTAAGCGGCAGCCATATATATATATCTATGCACAAGAACAGCACTATGATTATAACATTATCATGTTATACTGCCTAATCTGCACGTTATAACGTAAACAAATCTTACATGCAGCTTGTGCTTGCTGAAATTGATGATAGCAACAACTTTTTACAGCGTACCTCTGGTAAGATGTATATTATTTACGATTTTTCTTTCCTGTGTTATGTGTTTATGAATTATTTATTAACTTAAATTATTTAATAAAGCCGTATATATGAATTACTGTTCATCCCAAGGGTTGTATGATTCTACCAGTCTGGTTTATATTAAGATTGGTATCGTACAGGTGCATCTTGTGTTGCAATTGATTACAGGCTTTAGTTGCCGCAGCTGTAATGCGGATGATACTTATTCTTGCTTGCAAATGCATTATTAATCTATTTTTTTTTAACTAAAACATCAATATTCTAATTCAATATTCTTACTTGTTCTGTTCACTACCAAAAAGAATTTCTATTCAGTCATGTATATTTATTATCTTGTAGACGAAACTCGCTGATATGAAATATCAAATAAAGCGTGTATGAAACATTGAACAATTTCATGGAAATATCTGATGTGGCGGCAAATTTCCATCCAATGCATAGCTGATGAAATTTCTCTTCCGATTAGGTACAACGTAGCAGGATTTTCGTCAAAGTCACTCGGCATATATTAGGCTGATTTATGATTCCATTGATTTTTCCTTCTTTTATTCTGGTTATATTACGAGTAGATTATATGCCTAACTCTATTTGAAAGGACTCTACATAAGGAATGTAGTAGAATAAAATAATCTTTAATCAATTAAGCAAGGACAAGAGACTTTGGTGGCACTTCTTTGAACAAAAGTTATAAAATTTTACATATTTATTATTAACACTCATACTTAGTATTAACATTACTAAACAACGCTAATTATAAACATCAAGATATTAGACAAAGATTATGAATAAAAAAACTCTTTTGATTTTTCCGTTTTTAAATAATTTCTTCAGCAGTAAAAGTTCCCTATATGGGAAATATAGCATACCATGTTTGATTTATGATTAAAAAGTAACATTTTCTTTTTCACAACTAAATGACAATAGATTATTATATACAGCTTAAACACAAGAATATGAACAGAATATAAATAAACGATCTATACGACGTAATCTTAACGTTTATTTTTCTTGTATATAGGGAACGTCACCATTTTGAATACATAAATGACGATATCGACAGTATTCTCTTTATAATGCATATGCCAAAGACAATAGTTCAATGCAATAATTAAAAATGTTCATAGTGAGCTCTGGCTGAAATATTTTTAATCTGTATATGTATCCTCTGTGGTCACAGAATAGAGTTTAATTAATATTGAACTTATTCGTTAAATTAGTAATACTTTATTCGTTAGGTGTAGATGTAGTTCATTTTAAAGAATATACCTACCCAAAAACACAGTGAATACCCATTTCGTAACGATTGCTCTTTAATTACTTTGGGTCCCTCGAGAACTTTAAAAGTCCTTTTCTTTGTCTTTCTGTGATTTTTCTTCGACTTTATTGAATAAAAACAAAAGTAGGCGCTCTCAGGATTTCGGGCCGTCTTCAGAAAAGTTGCTAACTGATTTATAAGCGTTTTTTAGTTGACTTCCCCCTTGTTCCTTTCATGCTAGTTAACGTCGACATGAACAAAGTAGAAGTATACCTAAATGGTATATAAATATTCCCATAAATTCCTTTTAATCTATTATTTAGGGTTTTATAAAAAAAAAAAGATTCCTTACCTTATATCCAACGTTCCTGTTCACGCCAGTATGACATGATTTTAACCCCTTGAGCTGATCCAAACTGTTTATTGGTAGATCCTTGTGAACTACTATTACAGCTTGGTAACGGAACTCGGCTGGTGATAAAAAAAAAATATGTTTAAAATTGCAAAGAATCTGAGCATAGCACAAAATGTGAGAAACGCTTAATAGTCTGCCGTAGATTAATTATAATTTAAGTAGTCTTACAATAATATATCTTGATATTGTAAAAATAATGTAATTAGACCATATATTTGTATAAGTAATTGCAGAAGACAGTGAAACATTTATTCTAAGATCTTTTGTTATTTGTCCACGATAAAGAGCATCAATTAAAAAAATTTGAATTTCGAATATCGAATTTTAAATTGTAAATTACGAATTTCTTTTATCATGTTTTGATTCTCGAATTAAGATTTTTAATCGATTTTTGAATTCAAAATCTTGCTTACACGAAACTACGAAATTAAATATAATTCATATTCCGGAGCATTAAGATGTAATGCGTCCCAGTAGTTTATCTGCTATATGTCATGCTGACCGAAATACATGTAAGCTATTTGTATATAGCTTTTTGCTGCAGTTTATTCAAGCAGCAAATCACTGATTTTCATGTACATACGCCTAATAATATCATATATTCTTACTGTGAAAACTTTGGAGTTCGATAAATATACAAAATTCGATTATAATTCATATATTAATAAATTGAATTACGAGAAGTACATGACAGTCTTGTTGAGCATCGATTTACAGAAGACATTACAATCGGTCGATCTAATTATGAACAAAGGGTCTTATTCGATAACAATGGGTCGCATATGGTCATAACACTTCATTTTTACGGTTTTCATTATTCTTTATGTTGCCATACAAAGTGCAATGGTATTGGTATGCGCCATGTGTGCGATATGGCGCAAAACTAATAAGCGGTGCCAGAAAGACGTTTCTATTTCCGTCTTTTAAAATAATATCTCGCAAAATAATAAAACTCTGTAGAATGCTGACAGACCGTTTTTATTAATACTCTGGATTCTTCACACAGTGCCATCTAGTTCCAAGTTAAGCAGAGCCTGTGTTATGGGTATTGGACAACTGATACTTAGATACATTTTTTTGTAAATACATACGTAATATACCAAGAATACACCCAAACCCATAATACAAATGTTTAAAACGTGCGAGGAATCGAACCCGCGACCACCGGCGCAGTGTGCTAAACCACTAGACTAGCGACGCCGCGCCGTCCCGTTATTTGAGTCGTACACGAAATGTATTGGCTGTAATGAGTGGCATAAGTAGCATTATTTTAAATTTTATGTTATATACCTAAGATACAAGTTACAATAATAAATATTTTACTTCTTTCTGTTGATCTGTGGTTTATTGGATTATTGAAACAATGCTTAGGTACTGTCTTTCTTTTTTAGGTATGCATTATGAGGTGTTGCGGATGATAGCTTGACTATAAAGGAACAGTACCTACCTATTTATCTTTATATTTATTTAAAAAAAAAAAAAAAAATATATTGGGTACAGTAAAGATTTAATTAAATAGTTCAGGTTTGATCTTGGTGGCCTTCTATGGAGTCTATACATTTCAGGAGAATACAATACAACAAAGGCAAAAGATAGACAAAGACTTCATTATTAGAACATCAGGGAGGTAAGATAATTAAACAGGTAGGTATAGGAGTAACATTTGACCTGTATCCATAATATCTATTTACCGACACCATAGTGCATAAATAAGAGTCACCACAGATAAAATAGACTACAATGTACCGAATGTACACTGTAGTAGTAGTAATGGACACTATTATTGCTATTCGCCTGTTCCTAATTTAGTTCTGTTAGATTGATCATCACGCGAATCCTCTTTTTTAAGGAACTGCAATAGCAATGGCAAACTCACGGTGCATGTCTTTTTTTGTCGACGGGGCGAATGCAGATAGCACTTCAAACCCGGGGAAGGAAACATCGAGGGGCTGAAATCCAACTCCTGCCTGACGGAAAGTCTGAGAGCACCGTTACGAGGTTCGAACCTCGGCCTAGGCAGTTGTAATTTTTAATTGTACGTTTGAATTGAAAGGGGGATCGGAGGAGACATTTTATACACACGACCGTCGCTTATATACGTTAACAGAACCTTGCATATCACGTCATCATATGTCGCCCACAATACCCTTTATACGTTGCCATTCCAGGGGACTAAGATATTATACGTCCGTAGTCTGTAATTTCCTTTTGAAATCATCGTGTTTAATTACTTGATCTGTGTGACATAATCTCATCATACTTCAATTATTTATTAATGACCCGCGAGCAAAACTTAAACTCAAATAATTTGTATGATCTTTCGGTCTATTTTGGCATGACACATTTTTATCACTATCAGCGTAGCCATACCTTTAGTGGTGTACACGTAATTATCGCCATTCAATCATCAGTACGAGAGCCGAAATTCATACTGTACGAGGTGGTACAAGTACGTAGCTTTCTCTAATTTAAATATTATGTAATCTCTATACACTTAACGGAGTCTTATCATCATAATGATTTCTTTGGCGTAGTACATTGGCTCAGACTTTTACGTTATTACATTTCTGATGGGAGGAACATATTCTCAAATTGTCTATGACACAACCGAAATTTATGACATTTACTGATTAGTAATACTTCTACGCTTATAAGAAACAGGTTACACAAAATTATTCAAATCTTGTAACGAGTAATTCACACTGTAACAATAAGATAAAGATGGAACTAATGTTCGGCATCAGTCCATATACTCAATTTCAATTCTATTGACATTTTAAAACATAGATAATTTATTTATCTGAATTCTTAAATACCTTTTCTATTTTTATGAGAAGCATATTTACTCAGTAATCTTGGTATATTTTTATTTCCAAAGCATAAATGTGTATGAACAAATAGCAAGAATAAAATTATTTTAATTTTAATTGATTATATATCAAATGTATTAATAAATATTATTTTTATCTATATTATTTTCAAACTAATTTCGATATTGTGTAGGACTTGCCTGAATGAAAAACACAGTACGGTAGGCAAATCGATTTACGATGGTACAAATAAAAGAAGTAAAAAGAAAAGACGTCTGTGTTTATAAAACAATAGACTTTGTTTTCGGCGGGAAAATGAGCGTCGATTTGTTATGATTTCAAATAAGAAAAGAATTATATAATTTGAATGAGTGATTTTCTGGTTGATTCTAGTCGTTTGAACCAAAATACCACAGCATAATTAATTTAAAATTTATATAATTTTAATAATATGTAAATTTTAAATTAATGTATTATTACAAATAAATAAACAAGTAAATTGTATAAAACTTAAATCAAAACCATGCTCTTTTTTTAAAATTTTATACCTATTTAAAAATATGAAATACAGTTGAATGTTCTTTTTTTGAATTCCGAATGCGTCATGTAGAATTTAATTTTGTTTACAACTCAGAATAAAAAACATATTAATGATGTTATATATAAAATGGGACTGTCACCATCAATTTCAAAATAATCACATGCATTACAGAATACACTGCATTACCCATGTATGAGTATAGTGTAATTTTTGTACGTAATAAGTCACAGTGATGCATTGGCTATATAGGCCTTTCTGTCGATGCTGTACCTAAATCTGTACATAGAACCGCGTATATGTGGGTATCTGTGAGCATATTACCTTTTATGACTAACCAGACGTAACATTATTTATATTTAGCTGTTAAAAAGTTTTTATTTTAGGATTAATATTTGTCTATAACATCTCAGGATTTGAAATTAAATTAGGTATCGACTTACCATCGGGTTCATCTTCAGTTCTGAACTCTTGAAAGACAACAAAATCTTGATTAGGCAGTTTGGATGCAACATACATATCTTCAGGGTCAACCGGTACAAAGTCAGCTTGACGTTGTTGAATATAACTTAAGCATTCCACTCTGTAACGAAGAAGTTAATGTTAGTCTAAGATTATTAAAAAATATACGACACCGCGCAAACTTATCATGCACATCCTACATAAACACAGCATTGAAAATTAAGTTTTATAATACTTCAAACTGCCCTTTTGAGCAAACCAAAATTTTATTTAAGTAACATCTTGTACCCAGTTTCATACAAAATTATTTTGTTGCAATTGACGTAATTCTAAACAGTACCTGCTTTTTAAATTCCGAGAATAGAAGTTGCTACTCGTATATACCACAATTCAGATTTTTAAAATAAGAATGTAAGTTGTATGGGCGGGAGAAGGAAGTGAGACTATTCGATGTGGGTGAAGCAGCTGTACTACCAGACTATTATATGTTATCTGTGGTTAATACATACAGATTTTGTACAAAGTTATGTTCTGGTTAAAAGTAGACTAGGCTGTACGGTCTAAGGATCTTTGCCTGTTCCATCACTGAAAAGGAGATGGACGAATATGGGGAAAAAAAAAAGTTATGTTCTGGTAAAATCCAATCTGATTATATTATTATTATCTATACATATAAATAAAATTGGAGTGTGTGTTTGTAATATTGAAATAACCGTTTTTTACTACATGTATATGAATATAAATACGGTACATACACCAAAATAACATTTTTTTACAATTTTTGTCTGTCTGTTAGTTCCGGCTAATCTCTGAAATGGCTGGACCGATTTTGACGCGACTTTTTTTGGCAGGTAGCTGATGTAACAAGGAGTTAGGTTTTTATTTAGGCTACTTTTATTTTAGAAAACTAAAGTTAAATTCCACGCGGATGAAGTTGCGTGTACAGCTAGTAAATATATAAATTCGCACACTAAATTTAGCCCATTGTTTACAATATCTACTCATTAACATAGTAGTTTTTAAAAAAAAACTCAAATATTTATATTAATGTACCTACACATAGACTATCTGGCCACTAAGCAAATGCAATTCGTGATATGAATATTTATCAGAAACTAGCTACTCGCCCGGCTTCGTCCGGGTGTACATGTATTATAAAACTAATAATAAATAAATAATATATATAAACCTTCCTCTTGAATCACTCTATCTGTTAAATAAACCCGCTACAAAATCCGTTACGTAGTTTTAAAGATTTAAGCATACATAGGGACGGACAGACAGCAACTGCGACTTTGTTTAATACTATATAATGATGATGCTCATGATATTATCTGTAACTTATACGACAAACGAGATTTTGTTAGTTTGGTATAAATCTAATGATTTCTTGCTGATTTCTTACAATACATTTATGGTCATAGTTCGACTTAGATGCATGCCTGCCTGTGATACTCTTTATGAGTTGTACTCTAAATCATAGACCATAGACATTACTTTGAGAATCTCCATACTCTGGTATGGAGATTCTCTGTAATGTCTATGGTTTTGTCTAAGGGGTTTCCAGTCGATATTTTCTTCCCATTATGTAAATTGAATTCAGTGTGTATGTTTTATAAGCGGAAATTAGTACTAACCAGGAAATTTTATAATGTAGAAAATATCAGAACATTCTATACGAAGAGCAACAGGAAATTAATAATCTGATCTTATAAGCACTGTATGAGTATAAATAAAAGACATTACGAAAATATAAAAGTTCTAGGGATATTGTCATTTTGTCTGCGTACCAGTAGCTTCTATATAAATCAAATGCTTCTGAATAATATATATACATATAATAAGTAATACCAGTAATATCATAATATCTTTGGTTGAACTTTAAAATAGCCAGGTCTATTGTCAAACTAAGGTAGGGTTGCCAAGCCCGAATTTAAAAAACCAAGATTTAAAGTTCAAAATATCAGGACTATCCAGTTTAAAAACAGAACGCAGTAATAGTTATATTGATATGTAGTAAAATTCAAGTAATTAATATAATCAGGTTTTTAATAAAAAGTATTTGAATCAGTAATTAAGAGGCGCGCATATTTTTAAAACCCAGTACGCTGCCAAATAACTATTCAGGACTTTCCAGGACACCTTAAAAACTGGGACATGTCCTGGGAAAACAGGACGGTTGGCAACCCTAAACTAAGAAGAACTAGGGTGGTGGTCATGATAAATGGAAAATCGCAATGCCTTCAAAATAAAATAATAATAATGATATACTTTTACGATTATTATCCCAGATGGGGTAAGCAAAGGTATTATTAAATATTGACGTCGTTATTTATCAATTACACACTAATATTTGTCAACTCCACATTTCGTTATGCAGGGATATTTCAATGCAATTTAGTAGGCAACAAGCTTACTACTTTCTGATTAATTTGGATTGATGTCTGTTTTCATTACTGGAGAGCCATTAAAGTATATAAATTGATTAAAAATATATGAATTGAATAAATCTAGAGTTTTTTATGTCGACTAGATTGTATTCATGACCTTTTTGGTCTAAGTCAGGGTAGTAACAAACAGAGACTATACAAGAATGATTTCAGTAAAATCAAATTAATATAAAACATACCTGTCTCTCGCTGGAACACATTCTATGATAGCTTTGCTCTTTGTTTCCACATCCAGCATTTGCTGGCAATCCTTTAAATATGGTGCAGGCACACATAATTTATCTAAAACGTAAAGAAGGATACATAACAGTAACACTACGTAATAATAATCCCATCAAAAACATAAATGTGAAGTGATAGCCGAGTTTAATATTATGATATATGCCTTGATTGTTGACTTCTACGACAAAAGAGGTGAGATCTAAATGGGTGCCAAGTTCAATGGTCTGTCCTGAAATGTATTTATAACAATATAACATATCATTTCTTCTTATAACTTAGGATAATATACTGTAGCCTAAGGTCTAACTTGGCCAGTTCTCATATACCAATTATTACTTTCGATTGCTAGTTACTACTAATAATAAAATAGGAACCGACAAGTAACATGTTTAGAACTTGCGAAGGCTACAGTATATTTCGTATGTCTAGATGACTATAAATAATTGAATTCGAAATTTAAAACAAATGAACCTGAATGTCCAATCTCTTTTTTTAATTAAAAATAAAAAATCCTACCATATAACCCTTCAAATTCGTATTAGTTTATGTTTGTCGTTGAGGTTACAATACATGCATAAATAACAATAATATTCCGTCACGACCGACATATTAGATAGGGTAGGTAGGATATTGTAACCTATCGACGTCACGGTAAACACAACACTCGACATGCCCACAATTCGCATTTCCTACACGTTTATCGAATTAATATTTGGTTTATTCTCAGTGTTTTGAAAATGTATTTACTAACGATATGTAATAAAATCCACAATAATTGTAAACTTAAATAAATGCGATGAAAAAAGAAATGTGAGCGTTCTTCAATGATAACCCCAACTATGATAATAGATATTTAATCGTCCTATATAGTAATATAAATACTGGTAGGTATATGAAATAGGTACTTACTGTTTGTATTTATACGGACAAGTTAAATAGAAATGTTTTTACTGTATATTCTGGCTATATAAAAAGTACAATAATGTTGATAAAATACAATAGATAATGTATATTTAGTTACTAGACGATTTCCATTATGAACTGTTTTGTTTAAAAAAGGCGACAAACAAAAATAAGTATATTGGACAAAATTAATTTATTCCAATGCATCCAGTATCCAATATTCCATTCGATATTCAAAAAATAATATTACATAACTATTTAAAGCCAAACACAAATTCGAAATTTAAATAACCACAGATTCTATAATGTATTAAGAAAATAAATTTAAAAATAGAATAAAGTACATACAATTTGATTTGCCGTAGACACAACCGGCCAGTGCTATCAATAACACAAAACACTTCGTAGTCATAGTTATGTGATCACACTGGCTCTTGTAAATATACTGCAACTTGTTTGACCACCACCAGTTACTTTTATATTAATTCACTATCTGTGTTTTTAGAGGTACGGCTATATAACAGATATGTACCATATTGGTTAATAGTCTAAGTTACCGACTACTGGAACTGATACGGCTTTGTATGACACTGTTTATATTTAGAAGACGAAAATGTACGTATTTGAGAAAATAATTAATAATGTTATAGATTGGACAATATAATTTTTATAAAAAATGTACACAACTGAAAAAAAATATCGACACGATAAATGAAAAATTAATATAAAAAAAAAATACATCATTCATTGGACTTTATTATCATTGTTGCCACTTTGAACAAAATCGTTTAAATATTTAAAACTACATATAGATTGTATGCAGTTTTTTAAATTGGTTTTATATGTTTGTTATGTAGGTGTAATAAATACTTGTCTCTAAGAAAGAAATTCAACTGTTTTTTTTATTTTGTTGCACTTATTTTGAGGATTTTTTTTGTATATTTACAACTTTGATGGCTCCATACTAAGTAAAATTATTATTATTGGAATGATACAGGCTAATGTCTAGTCGCAAATATTAATTACATAAGTAGTTTATTAAGTTTTTATTATTTTAATATCTAGTAGATTCTTAGATCTATCAGAGTCGCCGTATGTTCTGGGGAGTGCTTAGATTAAATAATATCAGTTATACCTACTAACCAATACAAATATATTCGGATAGGCACATTTTGCATCCAGATTACTCCCATTTTGGTAAGCTATTCTAATAACATGTAAAGGAAGTAGTTTTTAAAAGTAAAAGTACGCCAGTAGAACGTTTGATTTCAAAATCGAATTTATTCATTCAAATCTAAATTCAATATTCTAAAACATTCTCATTTCTCTTTATCATTTGATAAATAAAATTTAAAATAAAGTTTATCTTGTCTTTACTTAACAAAAAACTACTTGAACATTTATTATTACGTAATAATATTGTTTAAACTGTTATAATAATAGCATTAAGGAAAAAACAAAGGAAAGATTGTTACAAAATTAAAGAAACTATCGATAAAAATGTACTAAAAATAAGAGATACAGTTTATTAGGTATTTTGCATTATTGTCTCCAAAATCTTTTATTATAAATGTATTCCGCAAATTGGCTTATGATAGATTCTATGTTTAGTATTATTAAAAAAAGGATAAGAAAGCAGTATGGCTGTGAGACTTTGGTTCTGAGCGAGTCGTGAAAAAAAAATTACAGTTGGCGCGTGAATTTAAACATGCATCCAATATGTAAGCTGATTAATAAATAAATAAAATTGATTTATACTTTACGATTCAATTAAAATAATGGATTGGATACACTGCAATAATTGTTTCAGTCAATTGGAACCCGGCATTACTCTTAATTTGACATCATGTGGTCACATGTTCTGCTGCAATTGTTTGGAAAATGGTTAGTAACTTCTTTTACTCAAATTCAACAATATTTTATTAGGTAGTAATAATTTAATAAATACTATAATTACATACAAATTATTATTTGTTTTAGATATAAAACAAAATACTACTTGTTTAGTATGTCGAGTGCCGTGTTCTGTAATGAGACTTGTTCCTGATGTACGTATATGTTTTTATATTCTTGGCGAAACATTATGTGTTTGCTATTAAATACCTAATCTTAAAATTAATTTAAAGTTAATATAATATCATCGCTTCCTCGAACCCTCTGTGGAATAACTATCCTGACATGAGGTAGGTTTTTATACAACTGAAGGTAAATTTAACTATCTTTTTTTTATAATACTTTACTCAGACGTAGATGAATAAAGATTTGATTAGTGTAATGAGAACAATGTAAGTATATATTCTGAAACTCTCATATGGGATCATATAGAAAATTATCATTGAGAATTTTAGGACTATCCCAAGTTAATTAAATTCCCTCAAAAGGTTCCGCCTTAAAAGATGCGTTTTACGATGAAGTGAATAAGGAAGTAGACAGAGTTAGAGTTTGTATGCAGTCGTCTGAGTGGGTATCTCAGTCTCACCTAATTCATCATGAGATTGGGCAGCGAAATTATAGGGTTTGGAGACATGTCATCTTAGATAGCTAGGGATTATAACATCAGCTTAGGCCTTCATAATTTGGATCCCCGTTTGAGTTGGACGATTTGATAGATCGGAGGGGGCAGCAATTGTTTGCAGTAGTACAAAAAGACCGTAGCTCAGTATAATTTTTGCCCAGGAAGCTAATTGATTTTCAGTTGTAGCCACCTGTGGGTACGGTGCGCAATAGCATATATTAGTTCACCATAGTGAATACTATGGTAATATTCTCTTATCTGTGGTAATAATGCTATAATATAATATAATAAAAACATACTGTTTTAACAAAACTTATAGATGAAACCAGAGATTCAGGACTATTTTACGGAACCTGAAGAGATAATTAAAAAGTGTTGCGAAGTTTTGCAGTTCCAGAAGCAGCATCGCCGTAGATTACTCTCTTATTTGTTTCAGTCGGTAAATTATATTTACTTAGTTTTAAAAACTTTTATATAAAAAACAATATTTTCCAAAGAGATCAATTTTCTTTATATTTTCTTTATATTTGTATGCTTAAATCGTGTATTTGGTAGGAGATAACACATGACCATAGAGAAAACTACCTTTTTTTTTAAATAATTATAAAATAACAACATATGCATAAATTCAAAAGAGTAGGTACTTTTCATACAATGCTCATGTTTCTTGCTAATAATATGTATATTGCAGCATTCTATATATATTTTTAAGCATAGAATAGATTTATTGACTCGTACACAACAATAATGACATATAAAATACAACAAGAAAACAAATAACAATTTACACACATTACAAAACAATTCAGAATAATGCTGGAAACATAGTTCCAGCGCTGTTTTACAGTTGAGTTCTGATATGTTGGCCACACCACACATCAGAATTTATGAAATAATAGACTTATAAGTATGTAATATTATGTTATCTGTGCTTATAAGTATATTAATTACAATAGAAAAAATCTAAAATTTGTTGATCTTATGATTCTTTTCAGACAAAGAAATTCTACACAGCGCGATCTGAACTGAAACGTATGACTGAACTGTGTCAAAAGCAACACAAGCAACTGAAGGAACAACAGAAAACTATAAAACATATGGAATCTCAAATCGCTAATCAATCAAGTAATTATAATTTACAATGATACACGGAAGGCTAACTAGTTAAAAACCCGTTTAAATGATAATCTGACGGTCTTTTGTCTTTTGGTCAGTTGGAATGTTACAAAAATTTATTATTTAACTGTAATGTACGAAATGGTAAAATAAATGGATAAATTTATTGGATTTTACCATTTCGTAAAATACAGTTAAATACTAAAACCGGAAATTTACCTACTTATTTTTGCAGTTCTTAGTATAGAGGGATGACAAGGAATGGCAATGCATGAGTATTCCAATAAGTATCATATGTCCTTAGTGCTGTTAGTTAATGTATAGGCGACAGTTACCGCTTACCATCAGATGGGCCGTAAATTGATTCCCATTTCATTTTCATATAAAATACTTATTATGCTTATTCTTCAGGACTAGTCGTGTTTAAAAACTTTAATTGAACAATATGAAAAAATAAATATGTGATTATAAAACATAATTAATTATGTCATTATTTAGAACAAACATCGCCGTTCAACATCCCGATCTCTCCAAACTCGAACCTGTCACCGAATTTCATACAATCAACTCCAACATTCAAACGGACTGCTAAGAGCACGCCATACAATGTAAGTATTAGCATAATTATTATTTCTTTACAGCTTCTGCCTATGTATTTGTAACTATCCATGATATGAACGCACCAGTAACATCACGAAAAGTATTGTGAAGTTTAACTTACATACTTACTAGGTGTATACTGCAGCTCTGTCCACATGAGTAGGGTATAAAGATACCTGGGTATTAATCAGGGATATAACAATGTTCTGAATTTTACTTCGTTTAGTGAATATTGCATGAAAGATTTTTTTTTGTATATTGGCTTTACACTGGCGGGGTCAGCTCAGTTAGCTCATAGGAATTCATTTTTAAGGCAGGAATTTATAATAGCGGTTTTCATGGGTAACTGCGTGGAGGTCAAACTGACATGGTACATTGCTAGCTATGTGATTATTAGTCCACGTTACTAACAATCTTCTACGCTGCGTGAAATATTTCTTTTATGAATGATAATGGAATGGTTTTCCCGCCTGCGTTAACGGTTCGCTGATGGAGCACTAATAGAGGATGATAAGATGCATGAGGTCTGGTCAGTTAGCCCATAGTGACAAATTTACTAGGAATTTATATCTATGGTTTTCTACGTGGAGGTCAAATGGGATCGTTAGTTGACATTACTAACAATGTCCTCCTCTTGCACGAAAGATTAACAAACATCAATTCATCTGCATAACCTTACGCATTGATAACATTGATAGGATATAGGGATAACGATATGCTGTTACCGAGGTTAAGCTGACCAATACAGTTTTATATTAATTAGATTTGTTCTGTTAATCTGATTGAGAAAATTTAGAGCGTTTGTTATTCTTTATTGTTGTTGTTCAACGACTTTCCTTACATGACGTTGCGACCTCATTACATTTAATTGTTTGTGTATGTGTGATAAGAATATATTTAATAATGATTGGAATTTATTCTTAATATATACAGTCTCAGTTGCTATCAGGATATCGGTATTTCTTTATTATCTAAAATAAAATGTCATAAAATGGGATAACCCAAGAGCAAATTATTTTCAATGTAGGTAATAGGTATTGCGATAAAGTATTTGTTATAAATAAAAAATGTATGTTTACTAATAAGCTGAATGGGAAGGCGGTTTAGCACATCGTCACATATCCAATGTTCGCGTGTTTGATTCTCGCAAGATATAAACATTTGTATTCATGAGTATGATTGTTTGTATTGCTTTGGGTATTTTATAAGCACGAGTAATGATAGCTATAATAATGGTTTATTTATTTGTTTGGTACATGGTAAAGTTACATAAATGGTTGGGTAAGTAAATTTTACAGTATCAGAGATCGTATATTGTATCTTTTTTATAAAGTATTATATTAGTAAGATCCAGTTTTGGATCTTACTAATATAATACTTTATAAAAAAGAGATCATAATTTATTTAATATAATATTATGTTGTTACATTTCTTTTCATTACAATATTATAATACTTGAATAACAGTAAGTGACAATATTTCCCCAATATACGATCCCTGATACTGTAAAATTAACTTACACAACCATTTATATAACTTTTGTACATTATGTACATAAAAAATGTATTTAAGTATTTCTATCAATTATCTAGTACCTATACCTCAGATTGGCACTACATAGTGCTGTGATAATTGCCCAAAGTTGTTTATTATTTATTTATATCATGTATAAAAAATATCCTTTAGTTCACATAAATGTGGTTTCATTTCAGCAACCATATCAGTCCAATCTTGTTACCCCATTACGGATTACGAAGCAGCGCAGTGGCAACTTCAGTTCCCAAAGCCAGGTAAGAAAAATCTCGTATTAATGCACAATGTACACATTACATATTTTTTTCGAACCATTCTTATGCTGTGGTGCCGCAGCTGGCTTTCATAGCTTCACCGGATGTAGGGGGCGAGTACAGATGTCACTTCAAACTCGCGGAAGGACTTATGGAGCGGCTGAAGGCCAATAAAGCGTGAGCCTGACAGATATGACTTTATTCTGAGAGCACCGCTAGGGGTTTGAACCTCGGCTCAGGCCGTAGTCATTTCTATCCCCGTTTGAATGGGACGAAGGGTCGATCAGAGGAGTTTAGATGCATTAGGATTACTGTATATATGAACAGAGCACTATGCTGCCTTCAAATGCTATGGTTACAATTTAATCATCAGGTTGACTGATATCATAACACCAGGTAATATTATATGCAAAAAAATTTGATCTTGATACTTTGAGTCGACATGTGACCAGGAGGGACGCTTGTAATAGCGTCAAAATATCGATAGCTAGTAAATAATATAATTACGGTAAATATTACATTTATAGAACGTGAACAATTGTAAATAAGCGTAAAAGAATGTTTATGATTTTTGCTGTACTGTTTGCTTTTAATTAATTGGAATGGCTACTAAGTTAATGGGCCGCCTAATGGAACATGACTGTCGTCTATATATTTCACTAGTATCACAAACTATATCAAATACATTGTAACGAATATACGTACAGTAAACTCAATTGGAGGATTCAGGTGGCGGTAGGGTTGCCAACTGAACTACCCGTGAACAAATACTCGTTTTTTCACCCCCCGCACAAGTTTGTACGAGATTTTTACGTACAAAAGTAGATCACAATCTGACGTACAAGAGACATATTGAGCTAATACACAAGATTTCACCAAATTCAGTCTATCAAAAACTCTTGTTATCTAGATTTTATGATTTTTACACAAACTTGGTGACGTCTTCAATCCCTTATTTTACGTAATATGTGACGTTTATGTGTGGCCCCTAGTAGTTTTAAGGTTGGCAACCCTGACTGACGCGTTACCGTGAACATAACACTCGACTTGCCCACATTTTACCAAACTTAATTAAATCCCACGTAACAGGGTGGGAACGTACTGTACTCGTCTCCCGAATTAATTAACTTTGTCAGCGGTGTCTGTAAACGTGTGCGTACATCACAGATATCATTTACGACTATGGTACATAAATAATAATAAATAACCCTGGACAATTAACACAGTGCCATATAGTCCCACGGTAAGCAGAGCTTGTGTTACGGGTACTAGACAATTGATATAAATACTTAGTTTTTTTGTAAATATATACATAATAACATACAAATTACCCAGACCGATACAACTTGTGAATACAAATGTTTGCACCGTGCGAGGAATCGAACCTGCGGCTATCGGAAATAAAGCGGTGTGCTAAACCGCTAGACCACCGAGGCCGTCAAATATATACAGCCTTCAGTAAAAGAGATTCTGCCTCTATATGACGTCATTAATCTGTATTCGAAGAATAACTAATTACATATCTAATAAAGTTATTCTCGTGTCTGTGAATTAATAGGGATTATAACGCTCTTTTCTCTGATAGGCAAAGAGCGTATAGTGAGAAAGAGAAAGAGCGTGTAAAGAGGATGTACAAGTAGTTAGAAAATATATATGTAATAATACAGATTTCTTAGCAATAGGGGCAAATTTGTAAAAAGTTCTCTGCCTCACTACCTCACTGTACTAATTCGGCTGCCAAGCACCTTGCTTTGTAAGATGTATTTTGGTTGAAGGAATTTTGGTATAACATCTTAGTCGTTCGGAATAGCAACGCTGGGTTGCGTGGTTCATGAAAATAGGCGACAATTATCCAAAAAATGCAGTACTTTTAAGCGTGAGCTCAGTTTGACAGCGATAGTGTTTCTTCTGTCATTGCATTGTTGGCTGTTTTGTTTGTTTGTGCATAATTATAGAGTAAATAGACGCCTAACCCTTCGGTAGACCCCTAGTCTTCGGTAACAACATGGTACGAGTGGTACCACAGTTTCACAATGTATTCTGTAATATTCTTGGTGATAGAAGTGCAATGTGTGTCATCTATACCTACATATAAATAAAATTGGAGTGTCTGTTTGTAATATTGAAATCCTGTTTCTGTCTGCTTGTTCCGGCTAATCTCTGAAATGGCTGGACCGATTTTGACGGGACTTTTTTTGGCAAGTATCTGTTATAATAAGGAGTAACTTATGCTACTTTTATTTTAGAAAAATAAAGTTCAATTCCACGCGGACGAAGTCGCGGGAACAGCTAGTATATAAATATAATATGAATTAATCTTGTGTGTGTTTTTTTCAGAGATCCAATACATCGAACAAGATCTCATCGACAGTGTTCACGCCTCCAACGCCTGAGTCGGCAGGGTACAGCCACTTTTTAAAGAATCTGTAATGGTATTCTAAACGATAATGACAAGAAGCTGCCAGCGATTATGCTAATGCGAATTTAATATAAAAAGTTTTCTTTTTTTTATTTTATTATGACAGTCGCGGTCTGTGATTTGCATGTTAAAATTGTGTTCTGATTGGATTAAATTGGACGTACCAAATTCGAATTACAAATTAGTTTCGAATTTTTTATCTTCAGCCAGTTTTTTTTGTTATAATTTAGAGATTACTAGCTTCAAATTGCAATTGATGTTATTGGAATTTAGATTAGTATGAATAATGTGCCATGAACAAAATAAAGGTATTAATGAAAAAGATTTTATCAAATCGTAATTTTTTTCTCAATTTGTTTTTAGGTTCCTCCATAGTCAATGTAGCAATGAGTCAGGTTATCAGTCGAACAGTCCGCCTCTGAAGTCTCCATCTTTTATGTACTGCAACGGCTTTAGCAGAAGTTGTTCTTTAAATAAAAAGAGAATGAAGATTATGTAGTTTAATTTGTGTTTTTATTAATGATAACCAATATTTGTTTTTATTCTGTGAAGTTAAGAAATGTTATGTTATACAAATTTACATGTGTCTCTGATAATATGGTACTTCCTTAAGTAAAGCTATAAAACTTCTATAGGCTGCTTATAGTTAGGTAATCTTAATAATAATTCAATGCATGTTTGTTTTCTCTATTGATTGTTAATAAATTTGTATTTTTTAAAGATGTGCTTTTATTTACGAGTATATTTCGGTGTTTTTGAATGTTAGCATGCATTCGCATTAAGAAGTCGCAACTGCTTTCCATGCAGCACTGTGTCTACAGTGATATATTGAAATGATCTGTAACAGTAGTACTGTAGGTTTAACCTCCAACCAGCTATCTTTCTATTGGCTGTATGATCTGTATGATGATATGAATGATAAATTATTGGATACAACTGCAAATTTTGTTTGTGAGAAGTGCAATAGTATTTAAGCACTATGGGAGCTAGTGTTATATATTGTGTGATGTTTGTCATGTCATTTAAGTCTATAGTCAATTAAACACGAGCTTTACACTTGTTTTTATTATTAAAGTTTGCAAAATATATAAGAAGTTATGTATCTAAATTCTAATGGGAGAATCCGTAAATGCAAATTGTATAAAAAGTGAAATAATCGACGATGACTTTCATATTATTATGGAATATACAAGAAAATAGACTAAAAGACGTGAAAGGGATCAACCCTTGTATCCGAAACGGCATCGGAATCTGTAATAGTAATTTAACAAATTCTTTAAGTGCAGAAGCAAATACAATTACTAATATAGTTGAAGTAGACCTTATAGTTAGAAATTAACTATCGGTATATTATGTATTGTTGCACAGATAACTATGGCATATTCTGCGGAACAAAGTCTCAATAATTATATGTTTATTTATAAGATTAAAATAAAGTAAATGTGGACAATACAGGCAGAAATAAATACTCAACAATAGTGAAAAAATCAAAAACGGTATATTTTCAAAGCGTACATTCAGTTGGGAAGTGTTTAACGGCGGTGGATAGGCAAGATTCCTTTGTTTTGTTGGTATCCTCCACTTGCCTCTTGGTGACCATGCACAGAGTGGGCGCCGAGGTTATTGAATTTCTCCAGCTGTTCGGCACCACCCTTGTAGCCTTTCTGCAGAAATTCACCCTGAAATAGATAATTTAGTGGAATAAATATTTCGTTTATACAAGATGTAAAGTGAGAGGACGACCGATAAAAAGATGATTGTGTGTAATATGATATGCGTAAAGTGCGGATAATGATCAGGAGAAGAAGATGGCATTTTACATCGACCCCAAACAATGGGATGAAGGCAAGGCAATAATGATGATGTATACTGTTTTTTCTATATTATTAGCATAAATATATATACAATAATATACATATAGTCAGGACATTATTCAGGCAGAGACAATGGGTCGCCAAGATAATGGAACGCCAAATTCGGTTCATACGAATACGTTTAGTGCTTTTGGTCGTTGTCAATTTTGACATTTACGTTCCAGCTTACTCTACTTAAATTTATCTTTCAATCTACACTTTTATTAGATTTTTCATCTCCTAGGCGTATCTCCTAATGTTATACCGCATAAAGCTCTTGCTGTGGCGTTAATTTATATTAGACATATTTTAATTGAAAATTTCTTTGAATGTGTAGTACTCATAAAGCTTAAGTAAAACTTCAGAAGTTTCTTGAACTAACATGCATGAACGAGACAAATGTATTTATGAATATACCGCAGTTCACTTATTTCATTTTCCCTTTTCATAAAAGTGATAAATTAATTTAATTATTATTTAAAATATATTTTAATAAAATGGGTAATAGTAAAGGTAAAATAGGTGTAATTATTATATTATGTACTTTATGATACACAACTTTGAAATTGTTTTTCATGTTTTACGCACCTTTCTCGTGTTATTTATTGTTGTCACAAAGATTTTATCGTTTTACGATGTAATGTTGGTAGGTTTATGACGGTAAATTCAGGAACTCAAATAGAATTCCGTATTTACTATATAAAGTAAAATATATAGGTTTAGTTATTAGTAGGTAAAGTTGTTTTAAAAGTACCATACAATTGGAAATTATTTGATAAATTTTGAATGTTTTTGGACATATTATAAAATAAATGTTGTCTAGTAAAATATCTGATTAATTTTAAGGATGCTCTCAAATAAGTGTATTTGTAGTAGAAATACTGCTTATAATCAAAATTTGCAAGAAGAAAATAAGATATAAAAGGTACATGTACCTATAGAGCAAATTGTATATATTGTTATTGATTTTCAGATGGTAAATTTATTATTCTCTGTATGGAGTCTTTGTAATTTTTGCTAACTTAAAATTATTCGCAAATCCTTAGTACAATAAAAATAAATTAACAATAATATTCTACTAGTACTAATTCGCACCGTTATTTTACCTTATTACAGTGAGTTTTGTTTAGAACAAGCTCTTGGGATATTTTAATTAAAAATCAATCTTCATCACTTACAATCTCTGTCTAAAAATTTGTTTATTTTAGACGTATAACATAAAATTTACCAGAAAAAATAGTTATTGTCTTCTTACAAGTAAGAGCCATCAGCTTGATTTTCATATAAAAATCATATAATATTTACTATGTACTCGCATAAAATTGTATGTAAGTATTTATATCAGTTATCTAGTACCCAAAATACAAGCTCTGGTTAACTTAGGACTAGATTGTTCTGTGAATTGTCTAGGGTTTTTATTATTATTATGTAGTTTGAGGATCGTAGTTTAATGAGTAAAAAGTGGGCTTACCTTGTTTGCTTTGCTGTCGTCAATTTTCTCTGCAGAAACATGATGACCTTCCTTGCCATGTGCATTAGCATCCAAGATTTTCTCCTCGTGGGCTCCTTTAAATCCTTGCTTAGAATTCTCTCCGAATGATCCAGCATTTTGCCCGGCAATTTTGTGGTCTGCTTCATCATGAGCTTCATCGTAGAAGCTCTCCGTTTTTTCCTCCTCATTCTTACTACTGGATGTTTTAAAGCCCTTGCTTACGTGGCCCTTTTTATGACTCTTTGCCTTCTTTAATTGCTCTTCATTGGCCCCTTAAATATTTATATGCACACATTATTTATATGACTCTAAATAATTTCAGAAATGTTTAGATATATATGTATTAAAAAATAATTATATTAAAAATAATTAAAAATACAATCATACGTAAATTATACTTTTTTGTTAAACAAGGACCAAGAAGACTAAACTGCAAAAATATGATTATTGTCTAATGTAACAGATTTATCATTTCATTTGTTTGTAAGTTATTTATTTGTCATTATTTTATATGTATGTTTAATTACTTTTTATACTTTTATTTATAATAATAAATATTAGAAGAACTACATACCATGTTTATCAACCTTCTGTCCTCCCTCGTAATACTTTTCGTCTCCGGCTGCTTTTTTCTTTGCTTCCTCATCTTTGTAAAAACTAGATTCTCCCTTTTCTGCCTTTGCAGCTGCTGCGGCTTGTTGGAAACCCTCTTGACCATGCTTGGCTTCTTCTTCTACTTTCTTTTCAAGTTTTTCTACATTTTCATCAGCTCCTTTTTTCTGTGCTGCATCATAAGCCTTTTTGTCCACATAACCACCTCCAATTTGAGCTCCCAATAATGGATGATAGAGGAGGCCACCCCCAAGACCAATCCCACCTAAACCCCCAAGTCCAGGATTGATTAGGCCAACCCCACCGCCAACTCCAGCTCCACCTAGACCCACTCCTCCAGCTCCACCAAGACCTACTCCTCCAGCTCCACCTAGACCTACTCCTCCAATGCCTATTCCTAACCCCTGGCCAATTCCAACACCTCCCAATTGGCCTATTCCACCCAAACCTAAACCTTGCCCTAATCCAATTCCACCAACACCCCCAACTCCGCCAACACCACTAACAGTGTTCAAGATTGTAGATGCAGCTCCTTCTAATTTATCAGGATAATCCTCACTTTCCTCAACTTCGTACGAATTAGATAAAGGGAATCCAGAACTTGTTTCGGATCCGATTGCTTCCAAACGTTCGTTCACATAGTCGTAGGGTGTCTTCTCATTTGCTAACTCAACTTTATGAAACACTTGTGCCGACGCCAGTGCACCAACCGATAGAATGAAAACAGTTGCCAACATCATGCTGATGTGATCGTTACCGACGTATTGCGACTGATGTCATTTCGGTATTGCACCGATTATTTATACTAAGGTTGAAATTAGTGGAACGAAGTTGTTTTTGTGTTGTGAGTGGGATAGTTTTCACGCGCGGTGCCTGGGATCCGTGTCCAGTAGTTTCCTTCCTGTGGTATTGTTTTAACTGATCCTAATGGGAACGACACCAGTAAAATAAGACAATGAGCTCAGTCAAAGACCTTGCTTTCCAGTTCATTGGAGCCGCCAGTGGGGCGCTAGTTTACGCAATCGCCAGCTTGCTATGGGTGACACGTTTTCTCAATTATTTAAAAATTATCTGTTTTCTGGAAGAAAACGCAGTTAATAATAATTATTAAAAATGTTTATTTCTCTGAGGAGTTGCCTCACTGAAGGATCAATATCTTCTGCGAGCAATGAACCAAGTAATTGCTATTAAATAACTGTTGCTCTGGATTTAACCTTAGATTCAATAAAATAATTAATTAAATTAGATATCGTTGTGACAGTATTTAGCAATTTTTTCATAAATACATGATTAAATTTTTCTTTGTATTAAATGTTTTAACCTTGTTTCAGATTGGACGATTTCACGTTATTGTTTTCTTGTCTAAAATATGTGTCGAGGGCTCAATTAAAGGTTATCGCCTATTATGTTGAGTATCAATGAGTAACCAATAATCAGGTATTAGCAAACTTTTTTTTGATACGTTTTAATTCGTTACTTAGTTTCTTAAAATCCTACTAAATGTTCAATTATTTTGTACAAAAACAATATTATAATATATTATACAAACAATATATTAGAAATTGAGGCAACTGAATATAGTTCATTCTTTAACTGCACGTTAATGTATTTCATTGCGATCAGCAATTATGTATTTAAGTAACTATATAATGAAACCATTCTGATTAACACTTATAAAAATATTTTATTACGTATTTTACGCATATGTCTATGTATTTTCATCACCTATCTTGCAGTCTTATGCCATTATGTTTCTCTGTATCTCTAAGTATAAGACTCTATTCAAGAATACTAAGTATAAGAAGTAGCCAGAGAATACCCAATTCCACTTCTACTCTTCAATCAAGATCATAATTCTTTCCAAATAAGTTTTAGTATACTTATCATCTCTAAAGTCTCCTTTTTTACTCATATAAATACGATTGTTTTCCTATTCTACGATTGTCATTCGGCCTTTTTTGAGATGGCTTTAATTCCACTGTATCTATGTCTGAGAGAGACGCTTTATTTATTCTATAGTACAGTAGGTAGTGCTTAGATGACAGTTTGGGTAATGAATCCCTCATTGAAAGCTATTCTTCAATAAAAGGATACCAAAGATAAGCACTAAAAGTCGTCTATGTAGGTACCTAACTCTAGCCTATTTCAGACGCCAATAGTATTATAAAGTAAGCATACGACTTACCTCATGGTAAGTAGAAACTTTTGTATATATATATGAACATCATTACGGACATCACTTATCATGTGACGCCGGTGATACCAATCATGCGATCCTCTAGAATAGAGGACTAAGATGTCTTACCTCTTTTTCTCCAATATCACTGCCTACTCTCACCCTACAAAAAAAGTAAAATGAGTTATCTACGCAGACTACTTTTTACAAAGTTTACCTAGGTTTATTCTGCTTTACTTGTTGAATTATTAACAATAGCTTCAACCACATATTTTAATCTATGCAACATTAACACCTGCAAATTCTAGGTTAGGATTGTAAGGAGAAAGCAATATCATTTCATGGTTTTTCTCTATATCAATAATATTGTATTTATACGCTATTCAAGTAAAAAAAATGCGTGTTTCTGTATTACTTAAAGTAATCTAATAACAAATATTCATGCAATAAGAACCAGCAGTGGACGTCTTCCGGGCTGCGATGATGATGATGATGATGAAGAACCATTCATTATATTAGCCTAAATGTAGGTATACTATTTCTTACTACATATATTTTGAAGATATAATTTCAGAGTAGTAGATTTATTTGATGCCCCAGGTGGTCTGGACGTTTAGCACATCGCTTTATTCTCCATGGTCGGGGGTCGATTCCTCGCATGTGACAAATATTTATATAAATAAGTATGATTGTATGTTTCGGTTTGGGTGTTTTTTAGAAGAAGTAAGTCTTTAGTGATACTATTGATTTTTTATGTAAATATAGTAAAAACATATTCCATGTTACTTGAGGATATTATTTTCAGATATTTTTGTCTTTAAACTATTTCATTAGAAAATTTTATTTCACAAACACAATAAAAAAAAAACGCCTGAATCAAACAAATAGCAATTATTAGCAGTTTTGCGAAATCATGTTTAAATATATAAGTAGACAGTGAAAAGATAACTTTGAAGACTTGTTTCAGCAAAGTTTCGAGCTAGTTCTTAAGTCCTAACACTAAGAACAGTGATTAGAGTAATTTTGATTAATGGGATTAATGTTCGCAAAGCTTGAACCTTTGTTTCGGTTATGTAGGTATCCTATCCACCTCTAAGTAGGTACATAGGATATGTTATGTTTGTATGTTTAGTATATGTTTTACTACGTATTATTTATGTAATACAATGTACAATCTAAATTATTGAGGTTAGAAACTTTGTATATGCATTCCTGGGGGCATTTATAAGAAATTCTATCTGTATGGATATCTTAGGCGATATTTGAACCGCATGTACAATATTTCAAGTGACTAGATTATTTTTCCTATATTAATAACTTATCGATGAAAGGTAATTGCTATTAATATAATTTTATATGTTTTGAATTGCATCTATCTTATCGATATGTATCTCAACTAGTTTATATTACCTCCGACTGACATGCGACTGACACGTTCCTCGGAGCATTGTCTTGTTTTAACTATTCAAATTACAACTTTCGTCCAAAGAAAACATGATCAATTTTCGTGTATCAACACTTTCGGCTTTCTATAAACTCACAAAGATAATTTTGCCGATTGTTTAGATTAATTCACGTTCAAATTTGCATTTTCCCTCGTCAATCATAAGGTTGATAGTTTTACGAGTGATAAAATAAGTTGAAGTTTACGCGCCGTAACATTAATCGTCGATCACTCATTCATAGTGCACTTTCTATAGATTGCATCCAGTTACCGAAAAATAATAATAATCGGCCGTCAGCTTTCACTGTATGTTGCGACAAATCATAAACAAAGATTTCTGTGCTTCGCGACGTATGCCGAATGTTTTTTTTGGTTTGATAAGCACCTTACTACCACTTTCATACTTTCTATGCACACGCTGTGATTACCGTATTTCAACTCGACATTCTATGACCTGATGCATAACTTTAAGTGACCTTAAGGCAGATCTTTTATTGTAAGTATAAGTAAAATTAGGTTCATTGGCCTATTAGCGTTAATTATATTCAATTATAGCAGAAACACATATTCACTAATGTACTGTCGAATACACAATTGGTAGAAATTAAAATAAGTACTATTTATTATAAAAACTCAAATATTACATGGAAATAGAGAGAAATGCCCAGATCATTGCAAATTATATACTCAAGATAGTTTATAATACGCAGGGATCGATCCCGTCACCATCGGAAAGTAGCAGAAGTGCTAAACTGTTAATTTACTGAGTTAGCAATTATATTAATAAGAAATAATGTACATAGGTAGGCTTATCTCCAGAATGTAAGTATCTTAACTATAATTCAAGATACATTTATGAACAAAACGACAATGTATATAAATTTATATATTATAGAATCAAAGTCACTGTTTCGTCCATGTTTCTCTTCTTACTGCCAAAACTCACATTTCTCAATATTTTTTATATTTTTTTTCGCAAGATTTATATATATGTATTTACACTGTATGGAAACTGAAGGCGGTCGCTAACTTATACAAAGGGTAAATCCAAATATAGATGAAGAAAATAGAACTATATTATTCGATGATATATTGCATATGAAATACAGGCCTATGATGGATTATGTTGGAATAGGCATCGTACGTACCCAAAACCTGTTTTATATGGATGCCCTATAAAATAGAATCTGCCACTTTTTATGCGGGCCGCAGAAAAATGAGAATATTTCGCTGACTTCTGATATATGTCTTTATTTGCCATTTTTACCCTCATTCGATAAAGTTGTTTTTTTTTAACGCATAAATCATTTAAAAAGTCAACAGGTGTATCCATTTCGATGGTGATAACCAATAGTTTACACAGGCAGAAGGAAATTGTTAGCAGTGTGGACCGTTGACACAATTTCTAGCATATCAGATTGACCTCCAAGCGGTTCGGAAAATATCATGTAAGTTATCATGTTAAATTCCTGGCATCAGGATCATGTTTTTAATGGATTTTCCATTAAAAAAATCGTCATACATCAGTTGGAATATTATAATATTAGAAAATGTGTCTGTCAGTTTGTAACTTCTTTACCTCTAAAAATTGAACGTATATTAATGTAATTTGATGTAAAGATAGATTATATGACGAGGATAGACATAATATGTAGGTTACCTATTATCTACTAAAAAAGAAAATAACATTAACAAATCTAATAGTTTCTGCCAATTTGCATACTCGAACCATGAACAAGTGAAAATTTAGCTCAACTATTGCCAGCTTTTGAATAACTCACCTGAAAATTATTATTATTTTTATAAAATCGTTGAAATATTATCCTACAGTCTTTTATAATACCTACTTTATTAATTTCAAAACTTAAATTAAGTATTATATAACAATTTTATCAAAGCATACAGCTACATATTTAGTTACTTAAAATTTAAATAATTCATGAGCATTACCTACTCACCGAACCTCCATTTAAATTCAAATTGAACACGTATCCAACAGCCATCCAATATTAAGCTAAATGAAGGAAAATAGCCATTTTATTAGCACATTTATGGCGTAATGACTAATAATTTGTTTATTTTACATGAATTATTGTCTTTATTTTTCAGATAAATTCGTTTATTTTTCCCATTAATA